CTCCCGCAGTTTTTGTCACACACCCATGAATGAGGTCTCAAAACGTGCGGAATATTCGGGAATGGTGTGCTATGACTTTTCTAAGCGATCGGGGGTACGATGTTCGCCCGAAGGGCGAACAAATTTCCCAAAAATCCCATAGACTTAACATTGCGACAAACTTTGACGACTCATAGCTCCGAGCGAGAATTTCACAGAAGCCTGCGATTCACCACATTTGAAGAGGCTGACAGGCTCTGTAAGAACATACCTCACAATGGGGTAAAAGTTGCACCCCTGGGGGGCAGGAGCTGCCCAAATTTTCCCCATTGACCCCCATGTTATTTATTATTCTTCTTCTTCTTATTATTATTCTGGCCACTTTTTGGTTCGCTACTCCTCCCGCAGATTTTGTCACAGACCCATGGGTGAGGTGTCAAATCGACCGGCTTATTTAGGAGAGGTGTGCTATGACTTTTCTAAGCAATCGGGGGTACGATGGTCGCCTCAGGGGCGAAAAACGGCCAAAAAAAATCCCATAGACTTAACATTACGACAAACTTTGACGAGTCATAGCTCTGAGATCGGATTTCGCAGAAACCTGTGATTTACCACATTTGAAGAGGGTGACAGGCTCTGTAAGAAAATACCTCACAATGGGGTAAAAGTTGCACCCCTTGGGGGCAGGAGCTCCCCAAATTTTTCCCATTGAAAATTTTCTAGTATAGCATTTTACTATTCCAGGAAAAAGTTTGGAGCACTCCTACGTCCACAGTTTTTGTCACAGACCCATGAATGAGGCATCAAATCGTGCGGCCTATTGAGGAGAAGTGTCCTATCACTTTTATCAGAGATCGGGGGTACGGTGTTCGACCCAGGGGCGAACAAATTTCCAAAAAATCCCATAGACTTAACATTGAGACAAACTTTGACGACTCGTAGCTCCAAACAAGGATTTCGGACAAACGTGAGATTTGCCACATTTGAAGAGGCTGGCAGGCTCTTTAAGAACATACCACACAATGGGGTAAAAGTTGCACCCCTGGGGGGCAGGAGCTGCCCAAAGTTTCCCCATTGACTTACTATGGTGAAGGACGTCCCATCAAATGCATGTGTTTTTCCTACTATGGTAAATTGCATAGGGATTTTGTATTGAACATAGCTCTGGATCACAGTGTCATAGAGACAAGGGGGCGGGCTCATTTTACTCAGATGACCAATCAGTCTCTCAGGATCATTGTGAAGCTATTAAGCCACGCCCTAGCAACCATATAGAGCACCTTAGCAACAAGTATCATAGACTTCCATTGAAAGAGATCAAAGGGATATCTCCGGATAGAAGTGTCATAGAAACATGAGGGTGGGCTCGTTTGACTTGGGCCAGCAAACAGCCAATCCTGAATCACCTCAATACTTACTGGCAACGCCCTAGCAACCATTGTAGAGCACCTTAGCAACCAAAATCCAAAGAGGGATATCTTCCATTCTGAATGTCATAGAGGCATGGGAGTTGTATTATATCATTCATACTGACAAGCAGCCTTTGGAGATTCATGATTGGCAGCTGCCAAGCCACTCCCTAGCAACCAAACAGAGTACCCTAGCAACCATTTTGCACGACCTATATCTCTGCATCAAAACATCGTATAGAGATGGGGGTTGGTTTATACATTCACATTGACTTTGGAGCTTCATGATTGGCAGCTGCCAAGCCAGTCCCTAGCAACCAAACAGAGTACCCTAGCAACCATTTTGTAAGACCTACATCTCTGCATCAAAACATCGTATAGAGATGGGGGTTGGCTCTTTTTACTCATGCTAGCAAACATGACTTGCTACATGCTACACATGCTAGCAGAGAATAGCTACATGCTAATATTGATTGGCTAAGTGCTAAATCATGCCAAGAAAATGCTACAAATTTCATAGTAACCATCTGTGACAACTACCAACCACCTATACCAGAACATCCAAGCAACCTCCTAGCAACACCCTAGCAACCACCCAGAACACGTTAGCAACACCCTAGCAACCACCCAGAATACCCTAGCGACCACCTAACACCATAGCAACCACCCAGAACACCCTAGCAACCACCAAGAACACCCTAGCAACCACCCAGAATACCCTAGCAACTGCCTAACAACACCATAGCAACCACCCATAACACCCTAGCAACCACCCAGAATACCCTAGCAACCACCTAGCAACACCCTAGCAACCACTCAGAACACCCTAGCAACCGCTTAGCAACACCATAGCAACCACCCAGAACACCCAAGCAACCACCTAGCAACACCCTAGCAACCACACAGAACACCCTAGCAACCACCTAGCAACACCCTAGCAACCACCTAGCAACCACCCTAGCAACCACCCATAACACCCTAGCAACCGGGTGGTGAGTTTTGCCACTGCAAGCACCACTTCACATTTTCCTCTGGAAATGTACATTCTAGTTATTATTATTCTTCTTACTCAAAAATTTGCAACTCTATCTCCTCCTAGAGCTTTAACTCCACATACTCCAAACTCGGCACGGACACTCAAACTGATCTGACTCGGTGTGCTATATCTTTTCTAACTGATCGGACTTACGGTTCTCCTAAAAATGACGATCAAAGTCGGAAAAAACTCCCATTGACTCCCATTGAGAAATTCAAACTGCCCAACTGTCAAAAATTCAAATCTAAATACCTTGAAGCCCCAGACTCAATCAAACTGTCATTCTATACACTATATGAGCCATTGAGACTCATTTAAACTAATGAACTCATCAATCTATGACACTTATCTATCTAATCTTAAACTCTTAAACTCACAATTAATTAATTAACTCTAAACTTGAACTCTTAGACTCATTTAAACTTATAAACTCTAAACTCATAAACTCTAAATTCATAAACTCATACTCTTATAAACTCTCATAAAACTATTAAACTCATAAATTAATAAACTCTGGACACTTACTCATTTAAACTTATAAACTCTAAACTCATAAACTCTAAATTCACACCTTAGCAACCAGTTACAGCACCCTAGCAACCGTAGGCCATAGGCACGAGGCCGCAGGCCTCGTGCCATACTAAATAGCGATGATTTCTCAGAAACTTGTAATGTACCACATTTGAAGAGGCTGACAGGCTCTGTAAGAAAATACCTCACAGTGGGGGAATAGTTGCACCCCTGGGGGGCAGGAGCTGCCCAAAATTGCCCCATTGACTTACATGAAATGGGCCGTCCAACACATTGCATTAGGGTTTTATATTGAACATAGCTCTGGATCACAGTGTCGTAGAGACAAGAAGGGTGCGGACTCATTTTACTCACACGACCAATCAGTCTCTCAGGATCATTGTGAAGCTATCAAGCCACGCCCTAGCAACCATTTAGAGCACCTTAGCAACAAGTCCCATAGACTTCCATTGAAAGAGATTGAAGGGATATCTCCAGAAAGAAGTGTCATAGAAATATGTGGGTGGTCTCTTTTGACTCCGGGTAGCAAAGTGCCAACCATGAATCACATCTACAATTTCTGGCCACGCCCTAGCAACAATTAACGAGCACCTTAGCAACCAAATTTTAAAGAGGGATATCTTCCACTCTGAATGTCACAGAGTCATGAGAGTTGATTTATATCATTCATAGTGACAAGCAGCATTTGGAGATTCATCACTGGCAGCTGACAAGCCAATCCCTAGCAACCAAACAGAGTACCCTAGCAACCATTTTTTAACAGCTATATCTCAAAATCAGAAAATTGTATCGCGATGGGGGTTGGGTCTTTTGACTCATGCTAGCACACAGGACTTTCAATATGCTAAACATGCTAGCTGTGAATAGCTAAATGCTAATATGGATACTTTATAGTAACCATATGTGAACACTACCAACCAAGTAGCAATACCATAGCAACCACCCAGGACACCCTAGCAACCGCCTAGCAACACCATAGCAACCTCCCAGAACACCCTAGCAACCGCCTAGCAACACCATAGCAACCACCCAGAACACCCTAGCAACTGCCTAGCAACACCCTAGCAACCACCCAGAACACCCTAGCAACCGCCTAGCAACACCATAGCAACCACCCAGAATACCCTAGCATCTATCTATCTATCTATCTATCTATCTATCTATCTATCTATCTATCTATCTATCTATCTATGTAACTATCTCTCTAACTCCATCTGTCTCTTTCTAACTCTATCTATCTATGTATCTATCTCTCTAACTCTATCTGTCTCTTTCTAACTCTATCTATCTATCTCTCTAACTCTATCTATCTATCTATCTATCTATCTATCTATCTATCTATCTATCTATCTATCTATCTATCTATCTATCTATCTATCTATCTATCTATCTATCTATCTATCTTTAAACTAAGTTAAACTTAATTTAAACTTTAGACTAATTTAAACTTCAAACTACTTTAAACTTCTTCAAACTACTTTAAACTTCTTCAAACTACTTTAAACTTCTTCAAACTTTCTGTTCCAAACTTTCCCAAGCCAACTTAAAGTTTGTCTCGACGAACTTTTTAATCTAGTTATTAGCTACTATAGTAATTAGTTTTACGATCTCAAGAGTTCAGATGCAAAAGCCTCTAAGTGCCATTTGAAAATTTCTTCTAGAATGATCATTTTTATCAAGCTTGATGATATCATTTTTATCATCAAAAAGATCTTCATTAGTGTTCCGAAGATGAACGAAAGACTTATTGTTTTTGGAATGACATGAGGATGAGGAAATGATGAAAGAATTTTCATTTGTGGGTGCTTATCCCGTGTGAGGCTGGCCAATACAGAAATTAACCTGAGAAATGCTGGAATAAGAAGTCCCTTGCCAGCATTAGGCAAATAATATTACTTTATATTTAAGTTTTTAAATAGCCTAATGTTCAAATGGTTCAAATACACGGTTGTATACAGTAAACCTGCATTGATATGTTCATGTTTTCTTGCCCTTAGATTGCTGAGAGCAGTGCTGAGGGGGCTGGACCGTGAATCTTCTTCACCGGCCGAATAAACCAAACACCTGCCACCGCGCACACTTTCAACACGACGCCGTGCAGCGTGGAGCTTACGTGACTAGACAACGAACACATCTTTTGTTTTGTATTCAAACTGGCAAACACTGGAGATACTGTCACGAAAAAAGCAAAACACATCTGGGTGTTTGTTGCATGTATCTCCTCAACTGTCCAGATAACAGCTTAGAAGGATCCTGACGAATTGCGCGTGCACAAACTGCAACTTTTACCTCGGTTTTTTGGACTCACTGACACGCCCCAAAAGTGGGAATTCAAAAAGCTAACGTTAGAGCTATACAAGCTCTTATGAGTTTATGAAAAGGTTTTTGACGGATTTCAGAGTTTAAGGCACAAGCTGTCCTCACAGAGACTGTAAGGAATGTAACGATAACATCTCACCTGATCTTCAAGACACCAGGCTACACGGAGCTACAGACCGTCTGCGTCACAAGACCAGCGAACCAGGTGAATATACGATATTCTCATTATTAAACTTCACAGTTTGCCCCGAAATAAGCTGATAAGGATGGAAATATTAAAGTTTTTGTTAGTTTTGTTAATGGTTGTCAAATACGTCAGTTGCTATTACTAATTGTGTGAACATGACGAAATTTCATCATCTCAGTTGTTTGCATATTTACAGTAATATAGTAATATCCATTTAAACCAATGTTATAGATAAACTACACAGAATTAGTAAATATAATCAGACACGTTTGCCTAAAAAAAATATATTAATGATTTAGCAGGGGGGTTGAGGAATAGAATACACTGAATTCAGGTTAGTATGACCCTTTTCGTAAATAAAATATCAGGCTAACCTATAGCTTACGCACTTGTTCCAGATGTGTTTCTTTGAGTTCAGTCATAAAGTATGGTATATCCAAGCTTACCTTGAATATTTCAATATATGAACAGTTTTAATGAAAGGAACCAAATATCCCTCACACCTAAGTTCATAAAAATTTGCCTACAATAATTAATTTAATTTGCAGATACTCTTTTGAGAATCAGTTAACAACTCACGATATGATAATTGTAAAAGTTTCTGATATTTGAAAACCAGCAATTAACATTACAGAGCAAAATGATTTGTCCTATTCTAAAATTAAACCTATCAAATCTGTTGATAATTGTCAAATAATATATAGTTTTCCACCCCAACATCTGACATCACCCTATTGTTATGTATTTTATACATTACTCTTTTTGGGTTTACCTCAAGTTGTATATTTGAATGTTAAGAAAGAGTGATACAGCAGTCATTTTGTCATTCACAAAAAAAGGGGCAAAAACGGACACGTTGGAGTTGGATTTAATGGACGTCATAGATTGCGCTTGTGCATCCATAATTCATATTCTGGCCATTCCGGCAGAGAACGACTGATACATAATTCATGCTAACAAGAAAGTATAACAGTTTACACCTGTGAAGTTCCACTGAAAATTTAAAACAGCAAATGTCCCGCTTAACAGTTTACTTGAGATATCTATGTATCTATCTATCTATCTATCTATCTTTCTGAGTGTGTGTGTGTGTGTGTGTGCGTGCACTTCCTACTTATTCACATCAAACCAGTGCCAGAACCAACATGTAAGAACACCTGAGTGACTGATGCTGAATATGTGAAGGAGAGGAGACATAAAACAAATCTGATCTTGCACGGTGTGAGTTTCATCAGGAGCCAGTGAAACACAGTAAAACATCAGAGGATTTTTGAAATCAGGTTCAAAAGTGAGGACGCTTTGAGCTGGAAAAGATGATATCAATTATTTGTTGGTTTTTGTAACCCCTCACAGGGTGCACCCGAGATCACAAATGTGCGTTTGAAGCTTTCAGACCAATAATTCTTTGCTCTTGTCTAATGCTACCACAGCAACTATGATCCCGATCTGATGTCTACAGAGCCATGATACACATCTACATGAACTTACAGAGAGATGACTATCTTCATAGCCTTTTTTTTTACTATCCGCTCTCATTTACCAACTTTTTTGTGTAGTCTACGGTTCTCTCTCACTCTCTCTCTCTCTCTCTCTCTCTCTCTCTCTCTCTCTGTCATCTTGCAGTTTCGACATGTAGTACATTCCTGGACAAGCCCCTAGACGTACTTTGAATGTGAATTTGAACCAGTGACAGCTGGCAGAGCCTGGGCCGGTGTTTGTGTTTGTTTGTGCACGTGTGAGTTTGTGGAAAAGGATTAAGCGAGTTGCGAGTTGTCAACTTTTGCCTCCAAATGTACTTTTGGCAAAACACACAAAGTGCTGAGGGCAAATCTGTGGTGTACACACAGGTGCAGTGATTATAAGTGCTAATAAAAATATGTAAGTTGACATAGCTGATTTAATCATGCATCTCCAATCAAGCAAATCCCAAGTATGCTAGTCCCTGCTGTGCTGACATCACCCCCATACATCACTGGCCAGCTGATGATGTCATAAACAGGAGCCCAGGATCAGTGTCTGATGGAAACTGATCTAAAAGAGGCAGCAGTTGCAGCCTGAAATCTTCCGAGTTAAAACAATGAGCAGTGTGACAGGGCTTTGTGGCAGCTTGGACTTATTTGCCACCTCCAGCTTGGCATCATAAGCTCTTTTTCTCAAGCAGGGACTTTTGGTTCAATGATGGCCACATTATCTAATAATTTATTCTGAAGTACATAAAATAAGCAGTTCATACATACAATTATGGGAATTCACTAATGAATTACAATTTATTTTTTTGGAAGTGCATTAAGTTAAAAATGTCAGGTTGATACAACTGATATAATGAAAAAAAGGCTACAAGAAAACCTTAATTAGATTTGAACTCATTCGTATCTGTGGTTCTACCACACGTACATGTACTTGCTTTTCTATAGAAACTGAAACGTACAGTATTGACACCACTTAATGTAAATTATTAATGTCTGAACAACTTTACAGATGTACAAATGTGTATGAATCATTATTTATGAAATCGTGATCCTATTGTATTCTGTAGTCATATCAATGAAATTATGTTTTCACTTTTCAGTCGTGTTTATCTACCAGTTTACTCATCTTATTTTATATGACATGACAACATTTCGCTCTGTTCTGTGTCTTCTGCTGCAAACTCAAACAATCAACTTTGAAAAAAAGCCCTGTGCAGTTGCACTGGGTGGATAAAGTTGATTAACGGCACCTGTTTTTCCTAAAATAAAACGGACACCATGTATCATAAATGCTGACCCTCTAATGCAGGCCTGAAACCTTTGTCTTTCCATGGAGTTGAATGAAGGAAGGTGTGACAGGCTGGGATTTGTCTATGTTAAAACTCCAGGCTAAATTTACAACAGTGTAGTACGTAGTCATGTTTGCTGTCTGTTCCTTCTGTTGTCTATCTAAATCGAACTGTCTCCGTCTCTCTTCCTCGTCTTCATCCTCTCATGTATTTCCAAGCTATTTTTTCCCCTCCTCTTGTCCTTCTTCCTTTGTCATTTCAGCCTGTTCCTTTGTTGAAATCAATGATAAATTTAGCCTCTGGTGCTCTTTCTATGTCCACCTTGTTTTATTTTCTTTCTTTTGTGTGGGTTTGTGTAGGTTGCCTGCAAATTGGGTCTAACTATGAGAATTATGGAAACAAGACTTCTCCTGTTGCTGTGGGCTTTGTTTGTGATTGAAGTGGCCTCCACACATCGCCCCGCTCCCAGAGTGCACCTGGCTTTTAAAGGTGAGTGCAAACCTTATTCATTACCTGTCTATGCATACTCAGCCTCTCTCTTTCTTTTTTTGCTTACACCCACACGCTCATGCATAGACACACACACACACACACACACACACACACACACACACACACACACTTAGTATAAACGAAGACTCCTATTGTTGTTATATAAAGCTAGTTATATGCAGTGTGCTATAGACTAACCATAACCCACGCCCTACCTCTTGAAGAAAACATTTAATTGTGTCCCACATGACATCTATGCACTTAAACTACGCACTATGTATTTTACCGTGTTGTGATTTAGATGACAAGTTTGATAGTCCCTCCCTCTCAACTGCGTAATTATAGCTGCGACAGTTGAGGGCATGAAGTGTACTACATTCCAGATGTGTCTCATTTCAAAGGCTGTGCCCTCTGGAGGTCACATTTGTCACTTGCATACGTCATCGAGGATGTCTCATTTCTGCAAAGTAACCATTATAAAATTCGCCGTTCCTTGTGAATCAGAAATTGTTGTAATGTCTCTATGCTTTGGATTGCAATGGTTACTTTTATGAAATGAAGCAGCCGCAATGACGTATGGGTCTGACAAATGCGACCTGCGACCTCCGGAGGGTGCAGTCTTTGAAATGAGATGGTGTTTGTTTTTTCGGGAAAATAAGTGCATCATCTGGTATTTGAAGAGCACTTATTGTCATCAGCCGGAAGTTGGAGCCTCGCGGGAGCCGCCATTGTAGCAGAACTTCACCTGTTGTTAGCATCCCATTGACTCCCATTCATTTTGGCGTTACTTTGACAGCGAATAACTTTACATCTGAGGCATCCAAAGATTTTATTTGTCCATTATTTATTTCTAAAGAAACATGACAATGTATAAAACGCTCCATTACTTTGTATCTTACGTTGTGGCCCCGTGGATGCCGTTTTTGTGAAAAATAGGCTAACGATTGCGTCATCACTATGCAACTTTCCGTCGCCCAATAGAGACATCACTGTATAGACAGGACTCAGGAGGAAAAGCTTGCAGGCAATCTTTTACTGTCTATGAGGCAATCGGGGGGACATGGAGGCATAAAGTCGAGGGAGAAGCCCATAGATGGAGAGTCCATAAAAGCAATGGGACAAAATATTTCAACAACGTTTTGGCTTGGCACAGCTACTAGAAGATTTACAACTGTCAGACTGTCGTCACGCTCAGTTTGAGCCTGCACAGTCTCTCAGACATCAGACAGGAAGTGCAAAAATCGGGCTTCAGTCTTCTCCGTTGAAATCAATGGGGTCGCTCTGTCCATTTCTTTTACTGTCTGTGCTATTTTTTGGAATATTTATACTAGAAAACAACATCGCATAAGTATGCGAATGTATGTAGGAAGTTTTTGTTCGATTTAGTTTGAAAGGACATTTTTATTCCCAAAATTCTGCTAATTATACACACACACACACACACACACACACACACACAATAAATGTGTTTGGATAGTTTCCTTTCCAGTTCTTGGCTGAAAACAAATGGTGGATGTTGTCAGCACGGTTGAGGTGTGGTACATGTGTCCTTAACAGAGCATATTCCAGAGAACCACCAATTCCTGTATATTGTTTATTGTTCAAAAATTCAAAAGCTCATAGTAATATTTGTAATTTCCTAGGTTTCAAACATTAGCTTTGATATCATTCAGGATTTGTCAGCACAGTCCGATATAAAAATAATGTTCATTTTAATTTCAAATATTTATTATAGCTAAATAGGTAAGATTTATGGCTGTCAAATCTTTGATTAAGAATGTTTTATATTAAGTGCAGTAGTCATGTTTTTATTACAAATAACAGTGAAATCACAGTATTTATAGAAATAGGGAAACCTTATAAATGTACAATAGTTTAAAAGTACATGTATTATTTTCATGTATTCATTCATGTATTATTACATAAATATACTTTAATATACATTTATATTTGACTTAATCAATACACATTAATTAAATATTATATGTATTGAATCTGAGGACAGGTGGTTTTAGGGGTCATAATTCACAAGTCATTGTTTTTATATAGAGAAAATACAATTACATTTGTGTTAAGAACATTCTAGTGATCATGCCTTATTCATTTCATACTGGATATGTTGATATTATAAAATCTAATGGCAGTTATAGATGTCTCAAGAACCAGTGCTGGAACTCCTTATATTATGTAAGCTTTGGAGTCCCAATCTTTTCCTTGTTTGCTATTCTCATTTATTTATTTTGGTCTTTTAGTATCTTTCTCTTTAAGGATAATCTGACACAAAAGCCTTGTTGTGGAGAAGTTATGAGGGATATTCCCTCAGACTCTTTCCCACCATCCTCGTCTGATAATTGTACGTCTTCAAAGCGTATACAGGATAAGGTCAAAATCAGTCATTTTGAACAATTATAGTCATTGTCAGCTGTCAAGCTAACTGTCACCCCTGTTCTTGACAAACACATACACATTCATGCAGTCACTTCATACACACACATTAGTACAACTAATGCATACATGTATCCACATGTAACACAGCCCCTCTAATTAAATTTGGGAGCAGGTTGAACTATGGGCTGCTTAACACATGATGTAAACAGGAATTTAAAGTTTGAATCACTTAAGAGGAATCTTTTCATATAATGTTCCTGAATAAGCTGAATGTAGAGCGGCAAATACTGCTGCGCCACATAATTACCCCAAAGATGATAGAGCGGCCCGTCTCTCATGTATGTGGGATTATAACCCTGCACATGAGTGTTTGGAAAGTACACAAACAGCGGTGAGCATCAAACATCAACCCACCATAATATAAGCACAAATTCGGATTTGTTTGTGCTGTACCAGTCGAAGTGTAAACAACTTTTTCCAATAGCCACATTTTCCCCAAGTCATTTCTATTTTAGTTTGCCATTTCTGTGGGGCCTCATTCTTTGTTATGGTACAATAACTATGACCTACATAAAAAGCTGACTTGACTCAAGTTAGCACTTAGAGTTACCATTGATGGCCTTTCTTTGAATATTCTAAGTTGTTTTTAGGTCATTTGGCAATTTTGACAAAGATATTTCTGGAATAATTTCCCTCATAAAACTTGCTCTGTGTAAACTCAAAGAACAAGAGCTGTGTCGAGACCCGTTTACGTTCAACTTTGACTAAAGTTTGGAAACCAATTTATCTCTTCTGGTGAACCTTCTAGAATTTGCAAATGTTTTGTTTTAAACGGCTCATCTCATTTTCATCTAATCTCATTTTATTCTTTGTAAGGAACTAAATATTGGCACCATATTGGTTAATTGGTTAATTAATTTGTTTTTTTAAATAATTTTATCGATATTAGAGTCGATATTAAACACTAATTCATTTTTTTTTATATTTAGATGACCTTTGCTAGCATCTAACTTTCAAAGTTAATCTTTAAAAAACACAAAAACTTAAATAACAATGTTAAATGTAATCTTTACCAAATCTCAGAATACATTTTTACATGCATTCTTAATCAGCTTTAGTATTTTATTTCTTAAATTTAGACAAACTAGTGAACAGTTTTATGATGGTTATTAACTAGAATGAATTAACTTTTATTATTGTAGCATCCCTTGTTTTGTCACAGGAAAACATGAGGTGGGACGTGAAATGATCTGATGATGGCTATGGCCAACTGACAAGAAAACATTCACTGACTCATAACCAGTAAATAGAGGTTCTTCTATTTTAGGGTGAATCTACGCCTTTATTCTTAGTGACCCTTGAGATTTTGAGAATTCAATTGACCTTCCTGTTCTTCACAAACAATCTAATCAAGGTGTGGGTTAAAAGTGCCTTGAAGGAAATTCATAAGGATGTTAACAGGATTCATGAAAAAAGAAAAGCTGTTTCAGATATCAATCACCTCGTGTTTCATATTTCCAATTGCCCCAGGCTCATATTCCTCCTGCTTGTGCCCTGATAAAACCTAATTGAAGAGATGACCGGGCTGAATTATACGCCCTCAGTAATTTGGATCTAGCTATTGTTAGCTTTGTCTTGTCTTTCATCACCCGTCCCTGTAATTCCACTAAAGCTCTTTGGCTCTGATCCGGTCCGTTTCTGCGTGGCCATTTTCTTTATTTGCCATGTTTTTTTGCTTCCGCCAGCAAAGATCCCCCTCTCACCCTTGACTCCACCCTCTCCTTCACGGCGGAAAAATACACTTGTCTCATTGGCCTCTCTATTTTCTGCTGTTATCTGAGATGGATTGTTCATTGTTTGCCAACGGGATGGTCTTTGTTTCGGAGGCGCCTGCAGATGAGGGAAGGTCTTTGTGTAACTCTAGAAAGTGTACCCAATTAGAGCCTATGAGAAACTGGCAGAAAGAGTGAAAGAGGAACGTGATATTCTATAATGTCCCTAGTGTGTCCAGTGTGTAACCTTACCTTATTTTATTACGGCTGTCAATCAATTTAATAATTTATTCATATTATGATACGCTGATTAAATAATGAATTATTGAAAATGACTTATTATTATTATAATTTAAATTTATTTGTATTATGTTTAGTTATATTTTGAGACCGAGTACACAAGAGAGTCCCTGTTGAATTCCTCTCACAACAAAGACTTCCTGCAGGATGTTGTATCACTAGACTTTACGTGCCTCACCTTTGCACCAGCGTCTTTCACCCGAGATTGTTATGAACTCTGTGCTGTGTCCACTTTGGTCCACTGCAGGTTTGGCAGTGGTAGTGTGTCCGGTGTTCTTTCTTGACAGTAAAGGGAATAGGATTGTACACAAACTCTTTCCCTTTTGCCCACCCAGTTCCGTGTCCAACAGATATCCGATCATTAGCGGTTATTTTAGCACCCTCTCCAGAGCATCCTGTAAACACACCCTCACAGAGACGCACTTAAACATATATTTACTTTTATAACATTAAAGTCGGCATCAAAATGCCCACATTTCCTGTGCCTAAACATTTCCATGGGTGTAAACATCCGTACGGATGATCGTCCAAGGGAAGCATGACAAAACTCGATGTCAAATTGATTCCCCTTTTGTAATTTTAAGTTTTGGTTTGTGCCAGTTAAAGGCAGACTTACACTGCAATGTAAGTGAGTTTGTATCAAGCTAATGAAATGCTCAGAACATTTACAGGCAATGTGACCCGGTAGGTCAGTGCTTGAAATATTCAGCCCTTAAAAGTTCATCAGACACATTTTTTAATCCACCAAAAGATAATATGCTTTTATACTTGCTCTGTTAGGTGAGAAAACAAATTTCTCTCACAAATAACATATTTAATATACTGATTGTAATCTGACTGACACCCATAATATTAATACTTTACTGCTTAATATTTTTGTTGGGCAGTCATACATTTATTGAGGATTCTTTGATAAATGGTAAAATACTTTGATAAAATAAAATTTCAATGTTATTTTAATGCATTCTTGCTAAATAGAATGAATTTCTTTAATAAAAAAAACAAACTTACTGACCCCCATACTTTTGAATGGTGGTAGTGTATTGCATAACAGTTTAGTATAACGAAGTTCATGATGTGGTTGAATCTAGTCAGGATCAGATGCATAATTAGTCATCTATGAATGTAGCTTGTGAAAGAGCTACAGGACTTCATCCTCAAAGGAGTGTGTGTGTGTCAGTGTCAAATTGATCCCGCATAGGGGAACAAATAGAAAAGAACAGTTTGTTTTGTGTTTCTATTCATCCTGAGTGAGGAATTTATGACTGTATTTCAGTTTTGGAAAAATCTTTTATTATTAGATGCTGACATCTCTTTCAGGCCTGAGATAATCCAATCATAATTCATAACCGACATAAGTCTACGCAGTTAAATATTCACACAATTTTAACTGCAATACTTGCGTCAGGGTCTGGCGTTCTTTTGAAGTCCTGTGACAGCCTGGACGAATGTCTGAGTAAACGGTTCAATTAACTCTGCTGAATTTCTTTATTTTAATCTTTGCCTTTGAGACTGAATACTTGGCCCATATGTGGAAGTGTTTTTCGCTGGTACTCAGGAAATGTTTCTAGAACTGTGTTAAGTGCAGTTTGCTCCCAAGAGCCACCAACTTCTTGGCTCTTCCTTCCACCTTCAAGAAGAGCTCGCTGAAGAGGGGTCGGCCCAGAACACTGCTACTACAAGATTTTTATTTTAATGATTTCATCTGGAAAAAGGAAATGCCCACAGAACTGTGTTTAGTGAGAGCGTGTGGATTTCAGATAGCAGATGCTTGAAGAGAGAGTTAAGAGCACCCCCTAGAGATGAAACACTATTATGGTAGGACATTTATTGAGCAGTTTCTCACCCTTACCTGTACTGTCTCAAAATAAGGCCCAAAAACACATTATTGACACCAAAACTGTTCTAATTAAGCTTTATTAATATTATTGATATTATAATTTAATTGGCTATAATTACGGTGAGTCACTTTAAAACAAAATAATATATATATATATATATATATAATTAACTTTCCTGAATCCTGAAAAAAACTTACAACCGTTTTCAACTGTGAACATAACAAAAATGTTTCTTGAGCACCAAATGTGCACATTAGAATGACACTGGAGTAATGGCTGCCAAAACGTCTTAAATAAATTAGGCCTACATGTTTAAATGTATTAAAATAAAATAAAGGTTAGTTTTAAAAGTTGTATAAACATGATTCATCATTTTATTTCCTATGCTTCTCTTTTGTCATTCATCAGAATTGATGGACACTCGGACAGCAAGGCCTTTCAGTTTCTCCTTCAACACCAGTGACTACCGGATCTTACACGTTGACCCAGACCAGGGGCGGTTGTACCTGGGAAGCCGCGAATATCTTGTTTCTCTGGACATGCAAAACATCAACAAAGAGCCTCTCATTGTAAGGGATGATTCAAATGAATCAATTTCATTCACAGCAAAATAACATGACGCAATTGTCACCCCAAACACTGACCCCAAAAGGATTGAAGTGTCAGGGAATTCTTGTCATAATTCTTTGGGTGTTTTATGCCTGTAGATCCACTGGCCAGCTCCAGCTCAGAGAAAGGGAGAGTGTCAGATGACTGGGAAAGGCAGGCATGTGAGTTTACTTCAGTTATTTGAATCAAACCATCCTTGTACCTGAATCACTAAATAGAATGCGAGACTCTTGATCTGACCAATATCTCTTTAAGAGTTGTGTGTGTGTGTGTGTGTGTGTTTTTTTTTCAGGGAGAATGTGCTAACTTTGTGCGTCTGATTGAGCCGTGGAACAGGACTCACCTGTACACCTGTGGCACAGGAGCTTATAAACCCATCTGCACTTTCATCAACAGAGGCTGGAGAGCTGAGGTACACACACATAAATACACTGACTTTATATACTCATATATACACACAATCAATCTGCAGTGACAAAAACCAAATGCTCTCGCTACTCTGATGTCCACAGGACTACCTCTTCAGGCTGGTTCCTGGTTTCGTGGACTCTGGGAAGGGGAAATGCTCTTACGATCCAAACCAGGAGAATGTCGCAGCCCTGATTAGTAAGAGACGATTAATAAAGATGCTGTATTACTTTTAGATTTTATGTAATTGATCCTTTAGTAAGCACGATAATAGCCAATCTTACTGTTGCCATCTGTAATTTTATCAAACAGTCCTCAAAATAGCAGAACATAACAATGATAACATATAACATGACATATCATTACATAACACAACAGAATCATAGCATCATAATATATCATAATATAGCATAAAATAATTATAACATAACAGATTCATAACATCAGAAATTAACAGACTCATAACATAACAGTGTGAAAGAATCATAACATCAAAACAGAACAGAACCTTAACATCATAGAATCATAACATAACCAAATCATAAGATATCTTAACATAACGATATCAGAACCTAGCATAGCATAAAATAATCATAACATAACCAAATCATAACAGGACAAAAATCACAACATATAACATTACAGAATCATAGCATATAACAGAATGAGAACATCAGAATCCTTACTGATATTTACATTTGCTTACATTGCTGATTCAGATCATAATAGATATATTTGACTGCAGTAAGGTTTTGGCTTAGTAGTTACTACGTAATTTAATGATTACCGGTACTAACTAAAATACTTTGTGACATCAATTCAGTCTAGCCCATGTATTTATAAAGAATATTGTGCTATCCTCACTACAATACTTTATATTAGAGTGCAGTTCACATAATGGCCACAACATGACACCACAAATATAATAATTAAATATTATACATTATTTTAATGCTTATTTTACTAAAATCCATGCTGGTAAACATGGGAGTCTCCAATTTATCCCTATCTGATGTTCATTGATGTTCAACATATCGAAGGTGACATATCCTGTCTAATGTGAAAACAGATCACCAAACTTCACAAATCATCTGAAACATGAAGCTTTCACTTGCACTCATGCATTTATTTCTCACCTCTCCTACACCTAGATGGAAACCTGTATGCAGGAGTGCCGGTGGACTTCATGAGCAGTGATCCAGGCATCTTCAGGACCATGGGGAGCCGGCCAGCTGTGAGATCAGAGCAGTATGACTCTAGGTGGCTGAATGGTAAATAGCTCTGCTGTTCATATTTGAATTGGCAGATGTCTTTTTAATTAGACTGACAATAAATATTTGCCCAGCTGTTTTAGTTTTCCATTAAATATTTGGATGAATGTGACATGCACACTCTGTTTATTTCCTAGAACCTGTATTTGTTCACATGAAACAGATTCCTGACAGCTCCGAGAAGAACGACGACAAGCTCTATTTCTTCTTCCGTGAGAAGAGTCTGGACTCGGGGGGAGGAGCGAGCCCAAGTGTGTTAGCCAGAGTGGGCCGCGTGTGCCTGGTGAGTAATATCCTGCTTCACGTAACCAGAGACCGCAGGTGCACAGGAAGCAGTTCACAGTTCAGTTAGGCAATAAACAGCTGTGTGTGTTTCATCACAGAATGATGAGGGCGGACAGAAGTCTCTCGTGAACAAATGGACGACTTTTCTGAAGGCCAGGCTGGTGTGCTCTGTGATGGGAGATGATGGGGTGGAAACCTTCTTTGATGAACTGAGTGAGTGTTGTTTTCTTTCCAAGTTTATTTAATTATTATACTTTTACAATTTGTGATGTGTTGCATAGCAGTTTTATGATTATTGTGCCATCTAGTGGTTGAATACGCCAAGTAAAGTATTTCAGATATAGCAAAAGGTGTTGTATTTCCAGAGGAGTCTGAGTATTGACACATTTTTTTAAATCCTCCACTCCAGGGGATGTGTTTATCCAACCTGCCCAGGATGAACGAAACCCTGTGGTGTATGGCGTCTTCTCGACTTCTGGGTACACACCTGCTTTTTCATTTATACATCTTCTTCTATATTTCTTCAGATGAACACATATGCTGCGTTCATAATCGCATATTGTATAGTAGGTACTACACTGTAAAAAAATATTGTTGGTTTAACTTAAAAAAATAAATAACCTGGCTGCCTTCATTTTAAGTTCATTAAAATGGAAAAATTGAGTTAATACAATGAAGGAGATTAATTTAATCACCAGAAACTCAAAATATTATGTTATCTGAACTACATAAATTATCTAAGTTGATTTGACAAAAGAAAAAATGTTGTGATTACAAATCATGAAAATATTTTTTTACAGTGTACGTTTGGCTTGAAACTTACTTCACGACCATTAAAAAAGTATGTTTTATATAGTATGATGAATGTGTATAATGTGAATGAAATTTGGATGTACTACATCTGCCAAGTTGTCATTGTCATGTGACCAACAGTGTCAGTTGCGTCGCTTCATCTCCATTCACTAATCCTCTCACGAATGTCTTCGTGGGATAGTAAAGTGTCCATCGAACGCACGCTTCTCACGAATCTCGTCGGAACAAGTAGTCTTATGAATACTACTCGGCTTACATGCCGTTTTTTTTTTTTTTTTCCTATTATATAGAATGGAAGTAGGCATATTTGGAGCAGTGATAATGACTTCTGACTTTTTGTGTTTTAATCCCCCAATCTGTTTTCTTCCCCTCTGATAAATTGTTTGTTTCTGGATCTGTGACATTTTAGTCATCTGTCTTGTTTTTGTCTCTTAGCTCTGTGTTTAAAGGCTCAGCCGTGTGTGTCTACTCAATGGCTGATATCCGAAATGTCTTTAATGGCCCTTTCGCCCATAAACACGGTCACAACTACCAATGGACTACATACACAGGGAAGATTCCCTATCCTCGTCCAGGAACGGTGAGTTTCAGTCAATTTTTCCCTCAAGCATCATGAAAATGTGGTAATTTCACCCACTTTTATGCTGCTTATCATCCATCTTACAGTGCCTATGATATATTTTATTGCTGAGGCTACATGGGTGTACATTTATCTGACTGGCTCTCCATCTGTTTCCCGCTTTAGTGTCCAGGAGGCACGTTCACACCGGGTCTTCAGTCCACAAAAGAGTTCTCCGATGAAGCGGTTAACTTTATTCGTGCTCATCCTCTCATGTACTATCCTGTCTATCCCATTCACAAGCGCCCTCTAGTGGTGCGCTCTGGTGTAGACTATCGCTTTACGACTATTGCAGTGGACCAGGTGGATGCTGTGGATGGCCGATATGAGGTTCTCTTTCTGGGAACGGGTGAGACTGGGATCCTCTGATTTGCTCAAATTAGTCAAGTTTCTTGAATCTGTAAAACTTGGGATAGTGTACAGCCTAGTTGTTAAAAGTCGGCATGAGATAAAAATTAGGGCTGCACGACATTGAAGAAAAATGCGATATGCGATAACTAATAATGCGATACGATAATGCTTAAAGTGTGTAAAATAAACTTAAATGATCTATTATCTAACCTAAATACGTGTTTCACATTCTTTTTGGGACAAGAAAATACCCCTGCAACTTCTGAAAGTGACCATTAGTGTTTTACTGTAGCATAAGAAGTGTTATTTTAACATCAGTGTAAAGCACAGGGTTTAGGGGTTCAGGTTATCCTAAATTAGGTTTATTTAACAACAGAAACTGAACAATCAAATGTAAAAATAAAACACTGATTAGTTTTCACTGTATGAATGAAATATATACAGATTCTTATTAAAGCTAGAAAAGATATTCAGCCAAGAGCAGCGATTGATTTCTCGGTCTTTTGTTCATGACCCCAGTTACTGCAAGCTGCATATCGCGATATTTCGATAATTTCAATATATTGTGCAGCCCTAATAAAAATTCACCCTAATAATTTTAGAAATGAAATGTAGGATGCAGATTCTGATAAACATATTGTGTAAACTTCATCACTTTTCTGTCACCCCACAGATCATGGTACAGTCCAAAAAGTTATAGTCCTGCCCAAGGATCCCACCACAATGGAAGAGCTCACTTTAGAGGAAGTGGAAGTTTTCAGGGTATATATATATTAGATTTTATATTAAAATAAATAAATACATTTATGTAATAAAATTAAATGACATAATAAAACAAACAAATATAATGAAGTACCGGTATGCTTTTCTATTCCTTTTTATTAACAGACACCTGCTGCTGTCAAAACAATGCACATATCCGCCAAACGGGTAAGCGTAAAAAATAAAATGTAACAGAAATAAGCTGATAAAAAAAGAGTTCTAAATATAATAGCCTTTAGGAGTATAATAATAAAAATGTTACAGAAATCAGTTGTATGGAATTACAATATTTTCTGTTTTTTTTTTTTTTTTTGCAGCAACAGCTGTACGCATCTTCCGAGGCAGGTCTTACCCAGATGTCTTTGCACCGCTGTGGAGTGTATGGAAAGGCCTGTTCGGACTGCTGTCTGGCCAGAGACCCCTACTGTGCCTGGGATGGAGATAACTGCTCTGCCTTTACACAAGCCACCAAAAGGTCAGAGAACCTTTGAAATTGCACATACTTAACTTCTCTCCTCAGAACTGAATCATGGCGAGAAGATCATTCAAACTGTCTATTAGGGGCTTATATGAGTTTCATTTCATAGGCCCATAAATTGATGTGGAATTTAATTATATCCTTTTTGTATTATTTAATTCAGGAGGAGCAGAAGGCAGGACGTTAAACACGGTGACCCTTTGCGTCAGTGTCGGGGTTACAATGCCAAAGGTAACAAAAACACACAGTTCATCAACAAATATCAGCCTGCAGTATTATAATGTGGTCAGTCTGATGTATTTGTGTAATGGGACTCAGCATATGACAATAATCTTTTTTTACTGTGTCTACTAGTGGAGAGGAGACTGATGGAGAAAGTTCAGTTCGGGGTGGAGGGTAGCAGCACCTTTCTGGAGTGTGTGCCGCGCTCTCCCCAGGCCACTATCAAATGGCTCTACCAGAAGGAGGGAAGACGAAAAGTGGTACGATTTCATGCTTTTACTTTATTTTAAACCACCAGTCACTAACCAGCCAAATAAAACTTGTAATAAATAGTGAATATAATAGTGAATTTAGCTTGGAAACAAAATTGAAATGTTGCATAAAACATTTGTGAGTAAAGAGAACAACTGGGAAATTGCAAAATATCTGTAATAAAAATGGAAGTTGCTGCAATCGAGCACCATGGCTCTTTTTTTCATACATCAGTATTGACGAAACCCAATAACCACTATCATGTCATCTGGATTTCTGAGGCCTGATGTCTGTGAACGCTATCATGTCAACCAAATCATTGAAATCAGCCAACATTTGAGATGCTGTGCAATGATACTAACTCTAGTTAGTCCAGTTAGTTTTTTTGTGCATCGTGGAATTTTAATAGTTGTTTACTCGCATGCGAACTTATCAGATAAAAAAATGTATCCGAAATGTATGTTTTTAATGCGCAATTTTTAAATTTATACACATCTTGGCACTTCCATCCAGTGTTTTTTTTTTTAATGTGATATCCCAAAATGAGCAAAAAAAAATATGTGGATGGAAACAGCTATTGGTAATAATAAGAGATGTCTCTTGAGCACCAAATCAGCATAAAATATAAAAGTTATTTCTATTTCAACAATTATTTTGTAATATTACTGTTTTTACCGTATTTTTTAAATCAAATAAATGCAGCCTTGGTGAGCATGAAAGACTAAAAAACATTAAAAAACAAAATCTTGCCAACCTCAAATTTTTTAAACAGTAGTGTATAGTCAGATTATAACTGCACATTTTTCTGATTATGTTTACAGCTAAATCGAGACGGGGAAGTTTTGAAGACTCCTCAGGGGGTCCTTCTGAAAACTCTCACCAAAGCAGATGCTGGTCAGTACCATTGCCTGGCCACTGAAAATAACTTCAAACACACGCTGGCTCGTGTCTATTTACGGATCCTGGACCGGGACATCGCTGTAGCCCTCACCACCCCCGATGAGGAGGAAGAGGCTTCGAGGAGCCATCGCAAAGACCATCAACAGGACCCTGCACGTCCTACCCCAGCACTCCTGCTGGAGTCTGAAATGCGTCTGATTCAGCAGTACTGCCAGTCCTACTGGGAGCAGCTGACGTCCGGGGGTAACTCTCAGGCGGACCTCCCGAAACGCGCCAACCGCAGACACACAGAAGCACTGAAGGCTAGTGGGGAGTGAGGAGGAGAGTTCCGAGCAGTTTATGGACTTTCATAGGTTAGTTCATGTGCAGTGCCACCTAAAAGTATTTGGACACTTTTGGACCGTTTGGACACGTTTTACTGTGTTTAAATGGAATTGGAATTTGTGAATTTCACTAAAAAATGAAAAGATAATTTATGAACAGTGGCTCCAAAAGTATTTGGACACTATTGGACAATTAAAAAATATCACATTTTTACAATATTCAAAAGTTTTTTTTTTTTTTAATGAATAAATCTTTACAGTGTTCAAAATTAATTAATTTGTGAACAGCGGCTTCATATATTTGGAGATTACTTAAAAATTACTTAATTTTTATGTGTCCAAAATAAATTGATCATTTTCAAATGTTCAAAATTAACCAACCGAATTAATTCATGAACCGTGGCTCCAAATATTTGGAAATTACTTTTTAAAATGATTAATTTTGTTTTTTCTGTGTTCAAAATTCAAGTTAAAAAATATTTGCCAGTTAATTTTCGCAATTAATGAACTGTGTCTGTTGTTTCGAAATTTGCCACATGGCTTAATATTTTGTGAGCGAATGCAATAGCATTCACTCCAAAAATGAAGTGTCTAAATTCTTTTTAGAGTCACTGTATGTAATCTTACATTCATTCACTGATCCAAAGTTAAAGTACCTGAGCATTCTTCTGTTGCATTGAGATTGTAGTCAATGTTGATTTAGGACTGAGCATTTCCACTTGCCACAGTGATTTGACTGCATTTCAGTATTATAAACAGGTGTAAACATTTACTAACCTCACAAATATGACCTTCAGGATGCAGTCATTACACACTGGCTTTTAATTAAAGTAAAAACTTTGAAGCACATTTAAAGAGGATATTACCTCATAAACGTTCCACTATCTTGTAGTCAGAAAAACAAAGTTGCTTACAAACTCATTGTTAAATTACTCAATCAGTGGGCCAGTGCAATTTCAAATGTTCCACCCTTGATTATGAAATTGTAAAAGTAATATATGTGTGTATGTACGTTTGATAGTAATATATGTATGGATTCCAATAACTGGGTTAATAATGGCACCAAACATCTGCAAGAACACTACTTGCCTTCTATGTGGCTGCTTCTCACTATTTGTAATATATATTTATTTGAAGTTGAATATTTTTTATTGGATGATACATATTGCTAGAGGATACTGAATAAGGGTGGAGGGCATTTTTGCATGATTGACCAATTCAATATGTTGTTATTTATTTAAATGCATTGAAAATGACTGACTTGTTTAGGAAATAACACTTTTATGCTGTACATTTAGTTTCATGCTTTGTGTCTGGTTGAGAAATCACCATTCAAGCAAAAACAAACAGTCAAATAAGTTCACTCAGATAATATCCAACACTGGAAATATTTCACAAACTTTGTGTGTGTGGTTTTTTTTTTTAATAGAATGGTAGAATAGTCCAGTTGTAAATGACAATGTTATGTCTTGCTCTTAGATGTTGATGTCTTGTAAGAAAAAATAAAAAAGCAATAATTTGCAAGCCTTAGATTCATTTTTTAATTCGCATTTGAGTGTATTTACATATGGCAAATACATTCAGTACTAATTAACATTAGATTATTGAAATAAACTCTAGCTGATTAATTAACACTCTCAAAAAACAAATAGTACACTTTTATTAACCATCTGTCATTCACGCAAGATGCCTTCACAACTATAAACAACAGACCCTGCACATTTGAGTAAGAAATCTTTACATTTCACATTGACTTGTTGTATAGAATGAATTAAATACACTCACAGAGACTGAGAAACCCTGAGACTTGAGAACGATCAATATAAAATATATTATTGTGTATATTTATCTTTGTCATCAAACTCTCCCTTAAGCTAAAACTTTTTAAAGTAATATAATTTTAACAGCACTGTTAAATGTGATATCAAAGCAAATCTCTAAATGAATATTCTTTTTTTTTTTGTACTGTATATTATATTGTTCTGATGCCTAAAATCACTTTTTTTAACCGGTGATTTCAATCATCAGAGTTGTATTTTTATTTTATTTATGATTAATAGTATAGAATTTTAATATCAGCCATTTGTTTTGGTTATTGACCATAACATAAAAATAATTATCAGTTTTGGCCAGAATTTGAATAGATCAGTGTTGTTTAATACACTTTGAAAATATTTCAATTACAACAGGATTAATCCCAATCTTCGTCATCATCATCCTCATCATCAAAGTCTTCATCCTCATCTACAAAATATTAAAAAGTAGAAAATGTTAAAAGGCGCAGCATACGTAAACAACGGAATCCAGCAGATCAACTTAATGGCTTAACATTATTATATACATAATTATATTGTGTAAATATTCATATAAAAGTATTACTTTTTTTACTTTCGTAATTACTACATTAAATAAAACAATCTTGAGTGGTTACCAGATGAATGGATGGCTTTACTCCTCTTCTGCATCACCATCATGAGAGCTCCAACTATTCCCTCTCCTGTATCCAGTGAAGGTGAAGGTGGTTCTTGGTTTGCTGCCACCTGGACAAGAGACATTACTGTATATTGCTGCTATAGAGTGTTGAGCTTAAGGCATACATGCAAACATTATTAATAAAGAGAAGCTAACATAACCGGAACCTTATCGGTGCTTAGATCTTGAAAGTAAGTCACATCCTTTTTGCTTCAACAAAATAACATATTTACACTAGTGTTCAAAAGTTTGAGGTTGGTAAGATATTTATTTGATCAAAAATACATTAAAAGCATTCATATTGTGCAAAATATAGAATTTTAAATATTTTATTATATTTATTCCTATGATAGCAAAGCTGAATTTTTGGCATCATTACTGTAACTTGATCCTTCAGAAATCATTCTAATATGCTGATTAGATATTTTTAAGCAAACTGTGTCAGCCAAAAGTTCAAAAGACAGCATTTATTTGAAATATATACTTTTGTAACATCGGCTATCACTTTTGAACAATTAAATGTGCCCTGGCTGAATAAAGGTATTCATTTCTTACAAAAAAATAAAAAATAAATCGTACCAACCCCAAACTTTTGAACGGTTGTGTAGACACTCACCTTTTTAAGCTTCAACCCTGATTGTATCTGGGATAGTAATGCTCCTCTACCCCCTTCCCCACCGCTGGATGCTGGAGGTGTTGGACCGGTTGGAGGTGAGGAGTTGCTTCCAAAATTAATTGGAGGGGCAGGAGTTGGAGGAGGAGGAGGTGGTGGAGGCGGACCACCTGCGCTGGGTTTGGCTGTGACTGGAGGAGGTGGAGGGGCGAAGCCTGAGGAATTGCTTCTGGGAGGAAAGTTGGATACAAAGGTATGAGGTGGAGGCATAGAATCAGCAAAGTCTTCAGGTGGAGGTGGAGGAAATGATTCACAAGGTGGAGGAGGGAAAAAATCAGACGGGGGAGGAGGTAGCGGCATTTCGGATTGGGGTGGAGGTGGCAAAAACCTATTGTCTCTTGAATGTGGGGGTAAGGGTGCGTTCCTCGTTCCTGGAGGTAGTGGTGGGGGAGCTGCCTCAGTAGGTGGGGGTGGAAGGAAGCTACCTCGCCTTTCGGACACTTGAGTTCCAGGTCTCTTTCCTGGAACGGGGGCTAAAGACTCCCTACGTTCTCCTGGGAGTGGTGGCTGGGGCAAGCCTCCAATCCGACCTCCAGGTACTGGTGGTAAGGGTGCACTGCGGGCTCCTGGATGTTGAGGCAAGGGCCCAGAACGCCCACCGGCAGGAACAGGGGGCAGGGGCCCTAGTGCTGTAGATCGGGATGGCGGAGGACCACCGCGGCCATCTGTTGTTTGTTGTGATGGAACTGCTCTTGGAGGTGGGGGTGGAAGGGATCCTCGATGGGATGGTGGAGTGGAAGTTTGACCTGGGACAGGGGGTAGAGGCCCCGGTCGACCTTGAGGTAGTGGCGGCGGCGCCGAGGAGAACCCGGACGGCACTTGGGGAAGAGAACCCCGATGTCCTCTAGGAACAGGAGACTCTAAAAGAATGTTGAACAATACACTTAGAGCATGGGTGACCAATCCTGTTCCTGGAGATGTACCTTGCTGCAGAGTTCAGTGCAAACCCTGCTCCGACGAACCTGTCTGTAATTATCACGTGTCCCTGAAGATCTTACTTAGCATGTTCAGATGCATTTGATTAGGGTTGGAGCTGAACTTTGCAGGAAGGTAGATTTCCAGGAACAGGATGGTGCACCCCTGGCTTAGAGGCAATATATGAAACAAATCCTCCATTTTAAGTCATTTAGCTGTTTGCATATCTCCATGACTTACCCTTCTCTTGCACAGCCTTTTTAACAGCCTCCATTCCACCTGAACGCTCAATGGCTTCATAGATGAGTTGAGAGGTTTCCGAATCATCCATATCTGCTTCGCTGATACCAGCGCAGGACAAAAGTTTCTTCAGGTCTGGGTCCAAATTGTTTGGACCCATGCCTAGGTGACTGACATGCCTAAAGTCATAACACAACGAAACATAAGCATCTCTAAGGAAGCTATTTATCTTAGTTAAAGCTAATCCACTTATTCACTCACGTGAATCCACTGGGTGCTCCAATAGAACCCTTCGACAGTTTGGTTCCTTTTTTCTTATTTTTCTTGTCTTTTTCTTTCTTTTCTTTCTTGGATTTGGAAGGGGTCATTTGGATCTGGACATTACTTGGTATCATTGGAGGCATGGCAGGAGACGTAGGAGTACCAGAGCCTGTGATTCAAGATGCAATTCATTTGTGTACATTTCATGCACTTTTACATCACTGAACAGAAAAACGTAAGTTTATGTTGTTTTCAGAACGTCCAAATCTTCTGGTTAACTTGTGATGCAGAGAAGCATACTATTTAGTGGAAATTTACTCTGTTATTGGACATAAAAATTGATTTATTTTTATTTTAAAATAATTCAGTTAAAACAAAAACAGGAACTTTTTTAACAAATAAACAAAAGGTTTATTAAAAAGCACAAAATTCAAAATACAGCCAGATATTTTTAGCATCACAATGGACAAGAATAAAATATGTGTAAAAAAAAAAATCACTTACCATTTGGTCGAGGAAGCAGTGGCAAAGTTTTACGATCTACGAACATACGAACATTTTATTTGCTTTGCACTTAATTCAAATAATGTGGATTGTGGAAAATCTGAGATTCTTACCTCTATCTGTTTCTTTTCTCTGCTGTTTCTCTTTATGTTATAGGAGGAAAGCATACAAAATATTTTCAATAAGACGCTTTAATAGATTGTCTTTATAACCCTGTGTATGTTTATGTTGAATTGGTAGAACATTTGAAACAAAATATTGTGCAAGAACGTATTTATTTTTAATACCAAAGCGATTATTTCTCTGGCTGATCTTCTCCTCCACTACAGCAAAGAAATTTTCAGCCTCTGTTACATCTGCAAAGTTTAACCCCACTTGACAGTCCTGAGGAGAGAAGTTTATATTTGAATATCGAAGTCCATGACACAAAAATGTTAAGGAATGAGTCAGTTAATCAAAGAGAGTCAAATTACAATAACTGTAGCTTACACTGAGGCTGATTATGCTTGTTGTTAGCATCATGCTAACTCACTATTAGCATTGAGTTAGCAAACTCCTGGCAGCTTGCAAATGCATGAATGTAAATTATAACAAAATAATAACTCTAAAAATGTTTAGCTGTCCCATTTATTTTGTATTTCTGATGTAAAGTTAATAAATAATCGATTTAAATATTGTTTTAATTTATATATTGTAAGTTGGAAATGTAATTTTCATGTCTATGCTCATAAAGTGGGGCAGACATTTTCACAAACTGAAAAAAAAAGTTGTTAAAGTTGTTAAATTCAGCAAGACACTGGCACTTCACAAAAGTTGAAGAGCTCTGACATGCATATACGAAATGTTGTTATTTAGTGTCAGTAGTTCCTTTTGAATAGCAAATTAACCCACAGACATCAAAATCGTATGTATATGCATATATTATGTTTGCACATTTCACATTGGTGTGTTGAAACTTTGCAAGCATGCTCGTGGCCCTTAATTAGCAAAAGTCACAACATTTTAGCTCATAATAGCTCATTTATACATAAGTCTGACGCAGAATCAGCCTTTAGCTTCATAAGGTAGTAAAAAAAAACTAAAATAACTAAATATAACCAGGAAATGTTATTTTGTGTCTATGCAGTTGCCTTAAAACATGTAGGTCAAATTGACTCACGAATATCACAAACATAATAGAAATTAAGTGTGTATATCTCAAAACACATCAGCGTTGAAACTTTGCATGCATTTTTAAGTTCATAACCCTAAATGAAAAAAGTCACAAAATGTCAAGAAGAAAAAAAAACAGGTTAACGGTATAACTCAAAAATCAAAATGGGTCAAATTGACCCGCAACATAACACAAGGGTTAAAGGTTCAAGCGCAAGGGATTGTGGGTATTCCCCCCAGCTACAATGCTTTTCTATTGGTCATGCTCAGTAGCAGATGCGACGGTATGACGTTCAAAGTACTGTTTGGATTGACAGTCCTTCATAGATCCAAACAAATTCCACAGGGCTAAGCAGATCCAACAGAACATGCTCAACATATTAAAGGACCTAAAACATTTATTTTTTATATCCTACTTTAGGTAGTTCAGTCAATGGTTAAATTAGAGACAAAATTACCAACCCAACCAGAAAATTAGCCCAACTAGTTTATCAGCAACAACTGTGTGAATTCATCATACATGCAAAGACTGTGTGCAAATTTCAGCTCTTTTTTGCCTGCCTGTCTGCAGACAGTTTTGTGGTGGACAGTACTGTGAGGAAGTGCTAATTCGCAAAATTAAATTCACAGGAAAGAGAAATAAAAACTTCCTCAACACACACAAAAAATCTATTGCTATTTGATACTGTAAAAACATGTTAAAAGCAATTATAATAATGACACTGAGCATAACACACAAGGTTGGCATTTACAACAGGTAAACACTTACATCTCCAGGGAAAGTGTGGAAAAACGGCATGACCCTTTGGTACATTAGTTGGTTATAGATTTCCTGTTCCCACACCAGCATCCCTACCTGAAGAGAAGTAACAAGTCTGAGATCATCTTAAGTTTTCTCCCAAACAAAAACAGGTAAACAATTTTCAGAATAGGGAACAGTTTGTTCACATGTGCACGTATGCAAAATGTGATAATGATTAGGCTATTATAATGACTAGAAATGTAAGATTTCATGCATTTCTGTTTGCCAATAAGAGAGAAATGGTCTCAAAACCTTGAGGTCGAAGAGACGGATGAAAAAGGAGCGCTGATGACTGTCCTTGACGAAACACACCACTCCAGATTGCTGAGGTGTCCAGCGGTTCGGCTCGCTCGGAACAGCCATGACCAACTGCACAACCGCTGAGGACAGAGACTAACCAGAAAACAAGGCTGTATTTAGCATCACACAAAAGACTATTACTCTCACAGGCGTGATTGTTTTGAATCACTTAACGCTGAGCAAACAATTAAAGTTGCAGATAATACACTCTTTTTTATTATTCTGTGATAGGAAATCTCTATAAGCAACTTCCCCTGTCATACCCCACAGTTCAAGCTGCAGTGAGGGCCAATTTCACACCTTTTCTTCCTTTATCTCAAAAGCTTTTACTGTGTGCAGTCAAGCAGCACCAAAAGTACCCACAAAATGGCAGTTCCTGCGCTGACGGATCGTCTGTTAGAGGAAGGGTACAGTCTTTTGATAATGAATGTTCAACTTCGTTGTTAGTGCATATGTGTATGCATATTAGATAAAAGCTTCTGCTACATAAATGGTCGACAACAACAGAACAACAGGATGTCTTGAATGTGTCATAATGGAATGATCAGAGGAAGTAGAATTAAACAACCACATGCAGAAGTGAGAAACACGTTTGGATTCACTGGTTTACCTAAATCTTTCTTTGATGTACAGTATAGGCTACATGTGGATGCAATTCTTTTTGAAATATTAACTAAAAAATATGTAACATTTATTGGGTAGTGAATTTAATATAAATATTTCAAGAAAATACAATCATTTGAAATGCGTCATGCAGGGAGTTCTGAAATTGTAATTTTACTGGTATAAGTTTAACAGTATATTACTGTTACATGTTGTCTGAATAGTGCAAGTTTGCGTACATTAAACGTGCTGTTTTACATTTTGCTTCTGTTCAATCTACACATTTTAACTGTATATTGTAAGGTAACTTTATTTTTTTTTATTTTGAAATATGAGTCCCACCATTTAGTTAAAAGTGAAAAAGTTAAAAGTGTTAAAAGTTCAATTAAGTTACAAAATGTGTGATTTGTTTTTTTCACATGGTCTATGTATAGCCTAGTGAAAATGTTTCACTTCTTAATTCAAAAAAAAGTGAGAGGCAAAAAAACTTTAAAACACATAAAAAAACACCTTCTCCATTGGTTATTCCGGTAGCACACTTCGTTAGTCTTTAGGTTACTCAACTTTACTTACTGGACGTAGTTAAGGCTCACTTTGGCCTATGTCTGTATTATTACATACAGTTCTGTTATAACATACTGTACTACTAAACCTGTTACTGGGGTGTGTTGGTGTTTTTGTATTGATCTTTTTTTGTTTAATTTTTTTTTTTTTTTTGAGTGTTTGTCTTCGTTGCTTCTCAAAAGGAGAGGTAAAAAACATGGTCAATATTTCTTGTCTACAGACTTCACCATATCTTAATGCATACATTTTCACACACACACACACACACACACACACACACACACACACACACACACACACACACACACACACACACACACACACACACACACACACACACACACACACACACACACACACACACACACACACACACACACACACACACACACACACACACACACACATAAATAAGTCTTTTAAAACATTTAAATCAAACGTTTGGACCACCGTTTGCACAGATGTGTCTCAATTTCATCATGAAAAACACTCCATCTTCCCTCTAAAGTGTAAATTTACCTTAGTACTGAAGGCCTCTGAACTTACCACACACCTCCTGCCCAGCAGATCCTCCAGCCTCTCATTCTCCTGTAGACTGAGCAGAAAGGAGCCCGCATTCTCCTGACCTTTCTCCTTCGATGCTCGCCTCATGGCCTCAAATGTTCATGGACCAAACCGTTCAAAAGTGACACTCGAAGCGAGAGAAAGAAAGAGACCCCGAGAGAGAACGAGAGATCTCCTCTGCACTACCGGTGACTAGTCTGAACAGCAAGCATTGAGTTTCTCTTCCTAGTTCTTACACTCAGCAACAGCAGACAAAAGCTTTTCACAGGAAATGGACAACCACATTTTTTTTCTTTTCTATTTTCATTCTCTCGCCTGCTCGTCAGCTTGTCACACTGCAGTATGTTCATGTTGCTCTCAGATCAGAGCGGAAGACCTCTTAGTGCAGTCAGATGATCAGAACAGACATTACTCTGCAGTGTACAACTGCACCAAGATAACCTTTTGTTGGTTATATACTGTATATACAGTACCTTTATTTAACCAGAAGAAAACTCGTTGAGATTAAAAATCTCTTTTCCAAGAGTGTCCTGGCCAAGACAGGCAGCAGCACAAATAACAAAGTTGCAGACATAAAAAACATGTAACATATAGCATAAACATAAAACATAGAAGCAAGGATCATCCAAATAATTATTCATAACAACTACAGACATGTGTAGCCTCTTAAAAGTAATTTAAAAGCAACCAGTGAAACTGGTTCCTGAAGATGTAAGACATCTTGCAGTTGATTCCATGCGGACAACAACAGTCCGGACAACAACAATAAGTCCTCAGAACGAAGATCGTCCTGTGCCTTTCTTTTTAATATAAGATTGAAGGTATGGGGGAAGGTATGAAGGTTGGTTTCCATCCGTGCCTCTAATAGCCTATCTGTCTGAATGTTACAAATGATGAAGGACAGAAAACAAACAAAACAAATGGGATGAGGAATTACTAACTGTGGTTAAAAAAAGAAGAAATGAGATAAAACAAAAACTAAAATGAAAATCTAACATTATGCAAAAGATTTTTTTTGGCTTTACTTAACTTTTGACCAAAGTTCCTCACACTACCAAACTGTTCAGCTTTTTGTTTTGCAGTCATTAAAATAATTAGTTGAGGCAATATTTGAGAAAAAGCAAGACATTTTGCATTCTGGGGGCAATTGGCTTTATGCACAGCTGCACTACTTCCTGAACTACTTCCAGCTTGTTTCTGTCTGCCATTATTGGGCAAACTTGATTAATTCAGGTGTGGCTGATTATTGTTGCCATGACTACTGAGGTCAGGCACACCTGAATCAATCAATTTGTCCAATAATGGCAGACAGGAAACAAGGAGCTGGCTGAAGTTCAGGAAGTAGTGCAGCTGTGCTGTGCCAATTGTTTTTCGTAATTTAGATAAAATGGTTTTGTTTGTTTAGTAAATGCTAAATTTCTCCTTCACTCAAAAAAAAATGAATCATAGTTTATAATTATGTATTTGTATCATTTGATTTTATTTAAATATTAATATTTTCATAATGTATGTATAGTCAAATTGGTTAGAATCAATGTAAATCTGTTCATTGTGAAAACGATTTGATTTAATCTTAAAAGTATGAATATGGTTTAAATATAGCTAGCTGTGGAACGAGCCAGGTCAAATTAGTTACATTTTAGTACATTGTTTGTTTTGCATAAAATTTATGGGTATGGGATCGTTTAGAAGGGGAAATGATGCCGATCAAACTCCAGTCGGTAGGTGGCGATACTGCACATAGACGTGTGTGGCAATGCACCTGAAGAAAATAAAGAAGAAAGATCAACCTGATTGCAAGGTAAGTTACATCTGTATTCTAATCTACTCTCATCGTATAAAGTTGACTTTTTTTTAATATAGGCTATATATGTATTAACGTTAACTTATACCACTAAGTTAGCTAACTAACTTGCACATGGTTCTTATAAAAGCTAACATTGTCTACTTTATATAACATTTATATTTATATCTACTTTATATAACATTATATACTATATATATATATATATATATATATATATATATATATATATATATATATATATATATATATATATATATATAGCCCTCGTGCATAGCTTAAATCCGTGAGGAAAAAGTGAACATTTTGTGTACAAAAGTAGCTATGCATTTTGTTTCTAACTAAAACCATTTTTTTTCTGATACATCATCAAGCATCCTTTCTTACATCTATATGGTGGGACAACCTCCTAAATCTTGTATGTATGCTACCAAGGTTGTTTTATGTACAAATCAATAAGACCAACATCAAATTATGAATAATTCATCTCAGTTTGAATGTTATATGATTTAACATAAAAAGCATAACATTCCTAATACATAGACTAGTTAAAAACATTTACATACATGAACAGCCTGATATCATCTTGCAATCAACCATATTTTCTTATAAATTGGACTTATGTGGTTATTTAATTGTTATATAAAAAAATTATTAATAATAATAATAGCTGTATTTTGACTTATCTTGTTACAGTAAAATCAAGTTTTATGTGTACTTGATATGTGCAAACGGAGATGCAGATTTATAGACTAACATATCTTGTTTAAGGTTAAATATATTATGTTATGTCCTTTTTCATCTTTTTTTTTTCAGGTCAATTTGGAGTTCATGCGTAAACAAGTGTTAAGCTGATATCAAAATTCATTGGTCAACTGGACACATACACTGATGAAGGTTTTCCGTCACAAAGGAGGATGTGCAGGACAGAAAATCTGCACCATAATGGCACTGACAGCTAAAGTAAGTGTGTTCTTATGTATTGCATTTGTTTTCAACTGATTACTCTTTTGTCTTGGCATGAATTCAGATACCTCTCTCTATTCTCTGTTTCTCTCTATTCAAATAAAAAAAAAACTTTATTTGGCATTATTGTTTAAAAACAGTATTGTTAAAGCATTATCCATATAACAGGTATTAAAAATAAGTTGCTAAATGAATAAGATTATTGTGTGTGACTTATAATAATGTATTACTTCACCCAAAAATGTGCCATTTTTTTACAAAATAAAAGCATTTCAAAACAAACTTCCTTTTTAAACATTAAAACACACTATTGTCATAGACAGTGCATATATATATATATATATATATACAGTCATGGTCAAAATTGATGGCACCCCTGGTAAATATGTTTATATGTTTGGAGAGAAACATATATTTCATAATGTGATTTCCACCCCACTTTCAATTCTTTTACTTCAATGAAAGGTTAGAATTTTGCAAAAAAAATTTTATGAAAGATCAAAAGGATGAACAATGCAGATTTATTTTTTACAGCCAGTTTTGATCATATTTACCAGGGGTGCCATCAATTTTAACCATGACATATATATTGTTGAATATTGACAAATTGATCGACAAATAATTTTTCACTCAAAAACTTAGGTGCATATACGTGCAGATCAATGAGGCCTATATGATCAGTTCAACAAAGAAATACAAAATCTAATTGAAAGAAAACAAGCTGACAAAATAATTGAATACAATATTTGGAGATAATAACAAGCGATTTACAAACTAGGGAATACAAAGGTGTTACAAGATTTCACACAGTGTAAGGTTGAAAGCGATACTTCACCCAAAAATGAAAATACTGCCATCATTTACTCACCCTCAAGTTGTTCCAAACATGTTTCAATTTCTTTGTTCTACTGAACACAAAGGAAGATATCTTGAAGAAAGTTAGTAACCAGGCTGCTTTAAGGCACCATTGACTTCATAGTAGGAAAAAAATACTATGGAAATCAATGGTGTCCCAGAACTATTCAGTTTCCCACACTTTACAGGTTTGGAACAACCTGAGGGTGAGTAAAAAATGACAGAATAAAATTTTTTGGGTAAACTAACCTTTCAAACAAATTCAGGAACTATAGTACATTTCATAAGGGCTGGTTTAATGTAGAATCAAGATGACCTTTATGAATTCTTGACCAAGCTATTGGGCTTTTCCCCATGTGTAAAATGTTTTCTGTTCTAATGATGGCTGCATATAGGAAAACCTGGCCTTTGGGTGATGTTGCCTAAATACAAAAACATATATCTATTGAATTGAAGTGTATGATAGTTAGTTTTATACAATAAAACCAGTATTTGAAACATTTAACCATGTTTTGACTTTATTATTCAAGATAGCGCAATGTGTTCAACAATAAATACATGTATCTCTCAACATTAACTGTGGAATGCTGAATTGTTTCCATTTCATAAGTCGTCAGGCACTTAAAAAAAACAATCCTGAGGAAATGTGAATTACTAAATGTAATTAAATTTAAATTAAATCTTTTTATTAGTTTACCACAAATTTTTGATTCATTGCATGTTACATTTTTAATTTTATCTCAGCACTCAGGTCCAATTGAGTCCAAAAAGACTAGAATAGGTGCATCTTATGTACAATAAATGATATAAAGTTTCTTCCATTTCAACATATCACACACAATATGTACATAAAAGACTATACAAAACACAAACACATTGACATTAATAATAGTTGTGATGTCCAACAGGAAACTATTTTAGTTGTGGTCCATGTAAACTTACAGATACTGATTAGGAGTGACAGAGATATTTTAGTAAGCTTATGGATAATGAATGCTGTTCTACACCCCAATCAATGCCGTGTCATAGTGACCTTTCATATAGAGTGATTTACAGCATTTATTACGGTTCGGTCCATTTCTGGCGTGTAATTTTTGTCACTGTAACAACATGTCACCATATAAACCATAGAAATCAATTAAGTTCATTTCAAGATGTTCAAAAAGTATTTTCAAAATATACAACAAACAAAATGACATACAACATGAAAAATGCCAAAACAGTGTTCTGTGTTTCTTGAACACTACAAGATAATTAGTATTCCTTCACCTCTCTAAAACAGAATAAAGAAATGTTGTCATATGACAGCGGCAAGAACTGCACTAACACTGTTGATGTACTGTAAGACATCTCATACTGTAGATTTCATTTGTTTGATGGATGTAATAAGACATGTACCAATACATATGATACAATACATTTACTTAAGGATCTTCATCTAACATTCAAACATTGTCCTTAAAGATAATGTTGAAATTCATCACAAAACTGTACACTTTTCCTATTTAAATAAAATTATAAACGGTATTTTATATATATATATATACCATTCATCACAAATAAAGTTAACTGAGATTCACATACAGTGGGTTCCAAGGGTCTGAGACCAAATTGAATATCTTGGGATTCAAAATCAAATATGAAAATTGTATGTTTTGGGAATAGAAGATAACATTATGGATACACTGGGTAACTTTTTTGTAAGGTTAATAGACCTTTAATCATTCTTTCAAAACTTGTTTTTGTCTTTACCCTGAAAGTGAGCCTAAAATAAGTGTTTACATTTTAGACCTGACGGCATGGTTCTCGCAGGACATTAAGCACTATACGTCAGTCACCCGTGCGTGTCTTCTCATATACGTAAATAGATAAAAGTTGCTCTGGCTCCTTTCGACTCGTGGATGGTATGAGAGAGGCATAGTTGTGGAAGCGAGCGAGAAAGTTTGACATAGAGCGGCTAAATCTCGAACCTCCGGGGAATCACCCGTGTGTTTTTTTCGCTCGTTTAAATAAAAGTAGAATAGAGGAGAGTCTGCTGGCAAAAAGAGAACTCAACGGAGATCTTAATAAAATGGGAATCATCATCGTCTTGGAGAGAACTGAGGTAGCTATTTCATATTTGGAATATTATAAAAGTCGTTTTTATTGACGAGTAATTGGCGAGTAAGGTATTTTATTGAACAGATAAACTATTATGGTTGTTGTAGCACTGTACTGAGATTTATTTTCAAGGAATAATAATAGCTATTTCTACAGTAACTTCTTCAGCTAGTCAGCTTGAGATCCTTTCCATCTAAACTGCTTGTCTCTTAAGCAAAGTAGTGAATGTTTTATGAGCAGAGGGATAGCATATTCATCCACAGTCACGCAGAGCTGAAGCACAACCAAAACAATGCTCTGTCTGTTTTGTTTTTTAACCACTAGTGTCAAATGTTACTTGGTGGACCTTTAAGATCATGCACAAATGTTTCACTTCAAATGTTATGCTAATAATATAATTTGTAATGGACGGAACAAAACATTTTCACTAATGAAAGACTTTTGGATCCCAAAATATGCACTGATCAAAATAAAAAAAAACACAAACTGTCTCTGTAAAATTGTCTAAAATTGCTCTGTTTAGTAGGAGGTAGACTTCAAACTGCATGTTTACACGTTTGGCAATAGAGATGAGTGAATTCTCATCATAGTTTCACAGTTTTTCCATCCATGTAATTTAGGAACTTCCATTTGCCAGTCATAACAGTAATATCTTTGCATGTAAAAATGGCTTTCAAAAAAAAAAATGTTGTTAGAGCATCATGGCTATAACAAGTCAAGAATATCTGTTACCAAGTGTTTATTTTTTAATTCTTCTTGGATGTGGTAACTGTCCTCCTTGAAAACCTTTTAATTTTGGACTTATTGACATTTAGGAGTTATCTGATTTGATATTAATCAAGCTAAATGAAACTGAACCTGGGTCACTGGTTGCAGGCTCAGGCCTGTGTGTTCCGTATTGGGTCTTTAGGATTCAGTTGTGCTCTCTCATCTCTGTCAGTGTGGACCAATCGACTTCATTCCAGTGACCCACTCTACTATGATGAACGTAATACTCATAATCATGAAGATGAAACCCAATGCCACAAACACCATTGCCTGGAAAACATAAATGGAAGTGAGAAAAAAAAGAAGCCATAGATCTGTGAGAGTGAAGTAACTTTCTGTCTGATTTTCACCTGGATCTTTGGCCGAGATTTCAACGGCTCCTGTTCTTTGGGCACGATGCAAATGTAGAATATTCCTGGTAATATGAAAATGAGGCTGGGAGCTGATGTGGCACCTAAAAGAAAAAATGAATCAGTTGAGTTCTGCATATCGATGTGGCCATTAAAATCCTCGACGCTGCAAATCTGACTCACCAATGAAGCCAAAGATATCACGAATGTTGGGCACGAAGATAACGAGAAGATTGACGACAAAGAGGAGGCACACGGCGATGGAGATGTGACGCACCCAGCTGAAAGGTTTGTCAGGGAACAGAAGCTGCAAAACGGCGCGGCGGATCTAGAGAAAGACAATGCAGCACTGTCAACAATCAACCAGCAAGATGATGAGAGGAATTATTATGCAAGCAATTACCAATGAGCCAGGAAAATTAATATACCGGGAAAAGGACTACGGGAACGGTCAGTGTCACTGCCACCAGCACAGCCAGCCGAACACACAGCATCAGGGTGTCTGTTTTACTGTACATCTCCAGAAGCTCTGACTGCACTTTTGCTAAACATATACATACCGATTGTTAAAACATTTCGAAATATCACAAATGGTGGTATTTGGTGATATGGCATTTCGTAAATGGCATGCTTTTTCGGGAAGTTCTTATTACCATAGAAGGTGAGGTAGCCAAATATGGCGGTCAACAGGTACATGACAAACATGGCCAAAATAGAGATATTAGAAATATTTTGCATGCGTTTCTTGCTTGGACTGAAATAAAAAGGAGACAAAGATGCAAATGTATTAATACATTTAAAATGTGAATGAATGTGAAATGCCAATGTGAATCAACAGCCTTACTTTTTGAGTTCTGTGTAAATGGGCAACACTTCAGGGTGACACACGAAAGCAAACGCCATAATGGGAATGGTAAAAGCAGTCTGTGATTTAAAAAACAAAAAATTAAATTCATTGGGTTTAAAGTAAAGCCAAAAGGACACCTGATAATAAGATTGGCAGTAGATATCTCTCACCTGTGGGTTGACAGTTATAAATTTAGCTTCACAAGTGTCAGCGGAGTTGTATATGCTTTCATTGACAAAAATGTCATTTTTGCTGGCTTCTACAGGACACACTGAGACAAACTTTTTGTAGATGACCTAATTAAACACAATGGAGAGATGCATTCATTTATCACAATGACATGATTAATGTAGTGTCATGGGTGACCCAATCTTGGGCTACCTTAAAAATACTGCAGTGTTTTCATTCTTCTTCTTTTTTCAGCGGGAGAAATGTTTGGTATTGCATAAGTTGATTTGAAATATGCTTTTTTAGTTTTGTTAGGGAGGGCCTGTTATACTATATAGTGATTTTAAAGTTTACTTTGTGTATAATGCACAACAATTAATGAAAAAATGTATCACTGGGAAAGTTTTGGATGTTTTTTAATCAGCCAGTGGCTAGTTCTATTTCGCAGACCTGGCAACCCTGCTGGTGTCTTCATATGTATGTAGATGGAGAGTTGACTTACAGATATGAGAAAGAAGACCATGCAGCTGAGGGAGAGGCCACTGGTGTAGCCTAGATACCCTAAAATAAAAGCATAAATACATGATAAATCCATGCACATATTCATTTTTTCAGGCTATGGGTTCGATTGGGTTCCAAGGTGTGTGTACTGATAAAATGTTTTATCTCAAATGCACTATAATGGTGCGGTCACATTAACAAAATGTAGTCAATTTGAACCAAGCAGCCTTCTGTTGCGTATGGCTATTTCACATGACCAGCTTAAAATTAGTAAAATTATGTGCGTGGAGATCTTTTCGCCAAACAATGTGACTGCCTTAAATCACTTTGGATTTAAAATGAATCCGTCTGGACTCATTTAAGACACTCAACATAGACCTTTAGTGCAGGTCTGTAAGTGTTTGATTGAGATTATGGTTATTATGAAATAAAATAGAATGACAGAGCGAGAAAACTGAAAATGAATGAATGAAGGGAAAGTTGGCAGGAACGTACCGAGTCGTTTCATAAATCCCAGGGGAAGAATGATTGCGACACTAACGATAATGATGAGATACTTCCCATTAACGAACCATGCACTGACAAAGAGAAAAAGGTGTTTTACACAAAATGTCATGCTAATAGGAGTGATCATATGACTAGAAAAAGCCGTCAAGAGTGTTTTAACCATGTTCACAGAGAATTAAAATAATGTAAAAAAAGAAAGAAAAAAAAAGAAATGTAAAAGGAAATACAGTGGAGTTCAAAAGCCACAAATTTGCTTATTTTAGTGACTTACACAATAAATAGCCCAAAACATTTCTTTGGTTTGTCTTTTTCAGAACCCTTGTTTTGGTTTTGTTTTAGATTTTAATTTGGACCCCACTGTATCTGGCACATCAGCATCAGTACTACATTCTGCTACTCACTTATAGTCATCTGGCAGTTCCATAAGACCCTGAATAACATGAGGTAACTCTATTTTCACAATGAACAGGTACGTGGACATTGCTGTTGGATCAAAGAAAGAACACAATTAGTGTTGTGATCAGCACTCATATTGCTTTATGTGGTTATCACTGATGTTAATTTATCACATGACCGTATGACGTCTTATGACTTCATGAGTATAACTAAATACTGAAAAGCAATGATGGCTGAAATGAAAGCAATAATGCATTTCATTTTACCTCCAATGTTGTGCAATGTTATAACGCATCCTGCTAAGATTTTCCCAGGTGTACCAAATGCATGGTTCCCGAGCTGTTCATATGCACGGATCCCTAAACACACAAACAAACGTAATGGAAAGGTGAGATGCTTTTTTCATGGGTTTACCATTTACCATTCCTGAAACCATTTACATGGTTTCAGGATTGCCTTTGCAGACATTAGAGAGAAGACGTTTCTCACCAACTACTTCAGCACTCCTCAGAAGCAGGTGGATTGAGTACGCAGAGAGAAGAGCGATGCTTATCAACAGGATTCTGAAAACAAGTAACTCAAATGATGAAACTATAAACAACAACAGAAAAAAGTAACTTCTTACTGTATACTTAAATATAATGTAGTCCACCCAAAAATTAAATGTCATCATTTACTGTTTTATGTAGAGAGCAGAAAAGAAGAATGTGACTGGGATTTTCATTGTATAGAGAACAAAAAAAAAAGAAAAGAAAATAAAAAAAAAATTTTTTTGTCCCACAGAAGAAAGTTAGCTTTGGAGCAACATGAGGGTGTTTTAGGGACAACTATCCCTTTAATCTCCTGCATAGATGAGTATTCAGAGAAGTCTAATCCCCAAAATATTATTTCATTACATTATCAAATCTTGCCCTTTTGATTTTACAGATTATTAGACTCACCAATCTGTCCTTTGACTTTCAGAGGTGCTAATTTAATCACGATTAGATGCCGCAAAGTACAGTTTCATCAGAGATATAATTACCGCCGCAAGTCGTCGAGTCATCTAACCTCTAATCTCATTAATGACGCATTAGACAAGCTTAGGCGTGTTTTTCTTCGTAGTAGCCTACAACCCACAAAAACACTGTCACACACATCTCTGCAACATAAACAAAGATGCTTTCTATGAGTTAACACTTCCCCCTAGTGTCTTTTACACATAGGCCTATCTGTAACTGTATATTGCTGAATGTTATGATTGGCAGGAGTGTTTTCCTTTTAGCAGAGAAGCTGTTGAGATTAGCATACTATTTTTTGTACAGCAAGCTGCTTTAAAAGCCTATTTGAGATGGACAGACAGTCAGGCTTTGACTCAATTCCAGCAGGCTATTTATAACCATTCTAGATCTGATCTGTGAGGGTACATGTGCGTGTCACAGCATATACATAGAGACGTTAAAGCGCCCTACACAAAAAAAAAAAGATCATTCACAAGGATTAGCAATTGTCCAGTTTATTTGTGCAATTTATTTTCGCCGTTTTTGTAGTTTTCATAGCCTGTTTGCTTTCAGAACTGAGTGTACGCCTACCGTACTTGATTTATTCAAGCACTTGATAAGCAAAGAATGTGTAATGGTGGTAGGGAAGCAATGAACATGAAAGAATTAAGTAAATATATTTAGCAGAGGCTCTTCCCTTTTGTTACACGATACCTCAGGGAAGAAAAAGACATGCAAATATTTGACTTTGTAATGACTGAGTATTTGTAAGGCTGGATGTGGCATGTGTACGTGACAGAGGCACACTGGAGTATGGAAACATTATGCCTACAGTTAAATATATATGGACACAAAGAAGCCTTAATGCTCAGTTAGGCCGAACTCAAACACTCACTGCAACACGCACATTCCAGCATACTAACAGGAAGCTGTACAAGAAGTTGTGCTTTACGGTGCTTAAAATAAAATTCAGCCAAATGTCAAAGAGAGGCGTAATTCCACCTCTCTAGACTTGAAATATTCTGTTTATATTCGTAACTTTGGACCAGATGCATCAGAAAGACTAGAAAGGCTCTTCAACTCAAATGGGATTACTCACAGTAAATTTGACATAAAAGAAACAGTATGACTTATCACATCTTCAATAACCTTTATTTTGATTATACATTATAGCTCAAATCAACCCAAATGCACGCATAATTGCAAGTGTAGTTTGACTTACACAAAAAGGACGATTCCAGTGTTTGCCATGGCATAAGCCAGTCCCAGAATTCCACTGCCCATAATGGCATTACTGAGGTTGAAAATAGACATCCCGAAAGAAGTCTTTCCCTCAAACTGGAATAAAAGATGAATAATGTATTAGTTATGAACCTATTTAACTGAATAGGGTTCTTTAGCCTGAAGGGTAGTTTCACTTTTTCTGTGCAACTCCACAAACAAATTTAAGGATGGCGAAGTTAGAAATTATTCCTAATTGTCTGTAAGCATCTGTGTTTGTTTCAATCAATATTCTAATCAGTTTCACCCCCTATGTGAATGTTTCTGTGAAGTAAATTCTGAAATTTGCATACTCACATCTGTAAAATGAGTTGCTCCATTGGTTTTATCGTGGAGAAACGTTTCGCTTTCTGTTATGTTTTCAAGGGCATCAAATCTGTGTAATAAAAGCAAAAAGAATATTGTTTTTATGCAAAGTTACAATATTTTGATATCTGTTTAATACAAGCAATGACACAGCTAATGAATTAGGTTTTGAAATTTTAGCAGGCTCTTAATATTCAGTGCTTCTACCAAAAACAAATACTATTAAATAGTTTTGTTAACTGAAATAAAGCTGGAAAAACTTTAAGTTTAAGATATAAACTTAAACAGAAATAAAATAAATGAAAATAAGTCATATAACTGACGTTTTGGGACGTCTTTTGACCATACGTCAATATTCGCCTTTTTAGGGCCCCCTTAAACGTCGGTAGATGAGGTTATGGGATCCTAACTCTACCCCAGACCTAAACCTAACCCTAAACCTAACCCGTCACCTAACTGACGTTAAAGGTAAAGCGTCAGTTGTATGACGGCCCGGGATCGCCATCTACCGACGTTTAAGGGGGCCCTAAAAAGGCGGATATTGACGTATGGTCAAAATACGTCCCAAGACGTCAGTTATATGACTTTTTGGGATGAGAATGTGTTGTTTAAACACACGAAAATACAACAAAAAAAATCACAAATTAAAATTAAAATGAAAGCTGATTCAGCTTTTTCTAGATCTTATATAGATAGATAGATAGATAGATAGATAGATAGATAGATAGATAGATAGATAGATAGATAGATAGATTGATTGATTGATTGATTTGATTGATTGATTGATTGATTGATTGATTGATTGATTGATTGATTGATTGATTGATTGATTGATTGATTGATTGATTGATTGATTGCTGAAGGAAGTTTCTGAGATAGTTCCTCATGAGTGTGTTGGCGTGGAAACGTACCCGCTCTCCGGACTTTTGTCAGGGCTGAGATCATGGTGACCGTTTGACATTTTCTGTACCTCCATTTTAGGCTTCTTCACTTGAACTCTCCAATGAACACTGTCTATATAAGGTCAAGCTCTGTAAACACAATCTGAAACACAGAAATGTTCTGGGGTCAGTGTCAGTGATCATTTTATTGAGAACTGAAATGATGGTAAAACATGAATGCGTTGCTGAAAAAAGGTGCAGTGTGAAGTGTCCAAAAGCTGGAAAATAAAGAATGTATAAAGTATAATCTTCACATAAATACACAAGGTGGAAGATGTGGCAGGGGAAAAGTAAAAACATTCCTCAGCATTACTGGCTGCTAGAAAGACACCTACTGGAAAGACAGTCTTGATATAACAGCTTTATATGCGCATTTTCCCCCTTCATCATTAATTCAGACTGATAAGTTAGCTGTGAGCAGTAGCTATTCTGCAGCTCTGTGTTTTTAATAAAGCTTGATTATTATAAAGTCAAGTCACCTTCATTTATATATACCGCCTTTTTACAATACAGATTGTTTCAAAGCCACTTTACAGTGATAATAGGAAATTAATGCAACAAAGATTGTTTTGGCTGTACTTGTCTAAAAGTTTTTTTCGAATTCATTTCCATTGTAAAAATCATTAGTTATTAACTTAATAACTGCACGACACCGTTTTCAACTGGGAACAGAAAACTTTTAATGCGTTCTGGCCGTTCATTTACATTATCAAACCTGTGTAAACTTCAAAAACTCAAATTTGTGAAAACGGTGACGGCATACTCATGCGTATTACTTGTTTAGTCTTTAAGAACACAGCTGCTGTGTTTTGGACCAGATGGAGTTTGTTATTAACAAAGGTGCAAGGCAACCAGCCAGAAGAGCATTACTCTAGCCTTGAGGTCATGAATACATGAACTAACTTTACCGCATTTGTCTTCATTTAGATATATTTCTATATTTTTAAGATGAAAGAATGCTGTTTTACAGATGCTAGAAACATGGCTTTCAAATGAAAGTAAAAGTAAATAAACAAAGTAAAAATACACTGTAATTTGAATTTGTGGGAGGTGGCTACAACCGTATTCTCAACCTGAAAACTAAATATGTTCAGATCTTCCCAAAGTGTTTTATTAAAAGGTCAACCGTGTATAAATATAAACACATGGCAGACAAAGTCTTACGCTAAAGCGAATTCAGCTAATGACTGTTTCCCCCTGCGCCATTGGTCAGCTGAATGGATACACCCCCCCCTCCCCCCCCAAATTCTTGCTGTTGGTTGAGCAATTGTTGTTGAGTCTTGTTGGTTGAAATGGTCCTGTGCTAACAGATAGTTTCCTCCAGGTTCTACAGATCAGTTTGTCTCAAATTAACAGAGCAATGTTTTCATAATGTCGCAGAGCCGCTATGAAATTCAACCTACGAATGACTTCCTTACGGTCCCTAATATTAAACATCTCTAAGTATACTTAGCCTTTATTTTCATATCATATTATTTGAAAGCACTGTTTTCAAAAAAGATATACTTTAACGATTTAAAGTACACTAAGGTGCGCATTAAGCAGATTTATTTATCACAAAGCTAAGAATGAAGCTAGTGAAACTTTCTCTCTGTGTGTGGTTTGAAATGATGATAGACACCACAGAAAGGGCAGTGCAGCATATGTTATGATTATAAATATATGTGTGTATATCATAGTTTAAGGCATCTTTTAAGTGTAAACTCAGTTTAAGCATGGCTGATGCAACCCTTCGTAAAGCTTGCACTCTTAAGGAAACAATGTGGAAAAATGCGTCAGAGCTTGTAGGTCAGGAAATACTTAAGTCTTAATCTGTCATTTACATGTGGAATGAAAGGATACTTGCAGTTGCCTTAATAGGCAAAACGTCTGTCCACTCAGTGCTTTATTAGGTTTTGATGCAGAATTCCCTGAATAGTTTAAGTCCTTCCCTGCCAAAAGCGCGGCGAGCAGCTGGTCATTATTTAGTGGTCAAACTGTTCAAAATATGTGAATATAAAATACCACTTTATTTTAATTTTGAGCCGCAAATCAATTGCCTACTCAAAACACTAAAGACCACCATCACTCTGTACAATACATCATGTGCTTGTTTAAAGTAAGAGCGATACAACAAAGGAAAAAAAGTAAGGAAAAGAGGTTAATGCGATAGTTACTCTTGACAAACCATCTAATAACTGCCAAAACAAACAATTGGTGGGAAATAAAGCATGAAATGAATAAATACAGAAACTGTAAAGGAAGGGAAGTTAGCCTGTGAGGCAAGTCTTGATGACCACATGACTCCTGTCTGATGCAAGACTTTATCTGTATTGAAACAGAACCAACCTCCCAACACACCCTTGTATAAACACATGCTTTTATTCCAAAGAAATAGGCTGTTGAGGAAGTACTCACCACTTTGAGAAGAAGGAAACCTTTCAAAAGTCAAAAGTTTTTAAAATTGTAGCTATGTAGTGTCCTAGAGAGTCTTCATTCATTAGTATGTTTCCTGTGTTGCCTTAGTGAAGCTGTCCAGCTTGTGTGGCATGTGCAGAGCTCACCTGTGTGGGGGAGGAGCAGGAGATTAACTCCTCCGTGAAGGGATGAACAACGTCTATATTTAAGGACGCTTTGGCACGAGTCTGCTATATTAACACAGGTTAAATCGGCAGAGTTTTGTAAATATGATGTAAATTCGATTGTTTCATGTGGCTGGGGTGAGTATGTTTGAGTATGGGGTGGGAAAGACATTAGGGGATTGTGTGTTTGTGTCCTGGTACATTGTGTGGACCAAATGTCCTCACAAGGATAGTCATTTTTTACTATCCTTATAGGATTTTTTTTTTGTTAACCTTGTTTTTCTTTTACCTTTTTTGTCTTTCTTTTGTTGTTGAACATTTTAAACTTCATGTTTTCTATAAGGTTTGTGTTTATGGGCAGGGTTAGGGGATAGAATACAGTCTGCACAATATAAAAATCATTATGTCAATGGAAAGTCCCTATAAACTGTGTGTGTTTGTGTATGTGTGTGTGTGTGTGTGTTGTCATAACTATTGAGATAAGGAGATCAGAGCTCTTTAAAGGTAACTGTCTGTGACGAGCAGGACGAGAGTATGCTCAAGAGAAACAGAAGTATAAAGGAGGAGCGATGACAGTGAAGATCAAGAGAGGCCAGGCCTGCATTTAAGTTGTGTTTTGTTATACAATATGTATGGGGTTAGAATTCGGTCAGAATTCTGCGAGCGAGCCCGTGAACTGAGTTTTGGAAATGTTCGTCCATAAATATGTAACAGCAGTCGTTCGTGAGGGGCTGTTGTCTTTAATTTTGTTTTTGTTAACTTTATTAAAGTCTTTGAATGTTCGCCGGTTCCCACAATAATGAACTTTGCTACATTTCAACACTTTTAGTACAACACATTTAGTCATTGCACACTATATATTGCACACTATAAATTTATAATAGATAATGTCCAAATACAATGTCCAAATCCCTTTTAATAGTTTTTTATATGATGCTTTATAAACATTGTTGCTAGAAAATTTATTTTTTATGTTTTTTTAAATAATTTATTTTAAGTCATATAAAGAAAGTGTGTGAAATTTTAGTTTAAACAAAAGATTACGATAATACATCATTTTCTGAATTGGTCCTGATACTGATCTCATGTTTGTCCATGTACTCAGGGAGAGAGAACTTCCGTTGCATGCTCTTGCTCTTGATGGCTATCTCAGCACACATGCGTCATATGGATTAAAATTAAATCGTATATGTAAGTAAAAACATGAACTTTGACATGATTTTTTTATGATTTTGTATTTATGTATAAAGAATGGTTCCCTTCATTATTACAGGAAAACGGCACAGTAATCACATGATGTTTTCAAGAAGTTTTCTGTGCAATCATTCGAAGTGCGCACCCAGAAAACCTAATAAATTGAGTTCTCTTTCTAAACTTCTTGCGCTTGAATAGAGAAATTCACACAAAATTGTCAAAATACCTGTATCGGCGAGTATCCTTGTGAAACATAGTCAGTTATGTGTTCAGTGAATATAAACAGTTGAGAAAGAAAGCGCATGTGTAACCGTACATTGGATACGTGCAGCTCTTAAAGTGACGGCAACCTAATATTCCTGCTGCTGTCTTTGTACTTAATGTTAATCTAATAACAAAAGATAAAGAGAAATTCACCAATTGCCTTTGAATAACTTTTGTAACTTTCATAAGGAATCAATCTATATTTAAAGTATACAGTGAAGACTACGCAGTTTTATTGTACATTTGATTACTTTATTCAATTTCTGTACTGGAACATGGTGATGTTTCACTGGCATATACTGTAGTATATACAAATTTGAACCACTGGCTGGCCCAACCGGGCCCAATCTATCTGTCATAAAGTTCTTGGGCAAAATATTTGACTGACTGATGAAAATTATGAACCATGTCCAATATATATACACACACAGCCAAAACGTCACAGTCAAAAGCCAAAAAATAAAATAGTTATGAATTGCCATGAGATTGTGTTGGTTTGGCAGGAGTTTCTAAAGTATTTACTGTTGAAATTCTAAAAACGTTTAACATAATATTTGAACTTAAAAGCATTAGCATAAAAGAAAATATATCACAGTGATTGGTCAATCATGAAAGTAGCACATGTATGTAGTGTTCAGTCATGCTTCATTAGACTTTATGTACTTTCAAGGACTGCAAAAGTATAACATTTTAAAAGAAATGTTAAAGAAAAAGGCAGTGTATGAAAGACAGCACTTCTCTCACTCACACACCTATAGCCTATTCAAGACAGTAAGCCCGTATTTGCAGACATGTGGCCATTTGGTCACAAGTGTTTACTTTTAGGTAATAAAGAGATTGATATTAAAAAAAATGTTGTGTGATAATAGTCATCAAACAGGATGTTCTCACACAAAGATTAACGTCAGACAGGAACTTGCTAATATGACTCACCTACAGTACATGTGGCCCTCACTCACAGAGTTACTGTCGCAGGGCCTTCTGGGTGAAATAAAGTGAAATAAATATAGTCAAAACACTACATTCTAATAGTCTGTACTTTTTATGTGAGAGGAAACGTCATCGAAGACGTCATATTCTAAAAGCTTCAGTTGAACACTATTGAGATACACCTCAAGATACACTGATATCTAACAAGAACAGGCTCTCCTGGAAAGCTTTGGCCAACATTTACTGATATAACCGGTCACAGATTACCATTACGCCTTTTGACGTTAAACACATTTATGACAAAGTGGAACTAAAATGCTACAGGTATGACGCATTTCAAACCAGTAAAGTGGCTTTTAAACCTTTATAGAAACTAGTGCATTATGGAAATGTGGTGCATTCATGTATATTATTAATAAACCTAATTCCATCCAAATCACTTGAACCACAGTTTACTCCACATCCTGTACACAAGGCACGTAAGTTATGTAACTCATGTGAATCTGTAGTTTGTGTTTAAGTATGAGGTAGAAAACACTTAGTGATGAATATCCCAATTCATAATCCATATCAACTATGCGTGCCATTTAATATTTTAAAGTCTAGAAAGTCTATATACACATTGTAATATCCACAATGGCAAGTATATGTGAAATACATATTTAATATGATTATCCTATGATTAAATAAAGAAACACTGTAAAGATCCATGTGAACCTACAGTACAGACAATTGTGTGATTGTTCTGAACTGCATCTGTCATAAATTATTGCTGCTTTCGGCTCTAGCTGCCATGTGCCACATGGCGTAGGTCTCCCTACTTCCTTCTGATGTAGCTGAGGAGATCTCATGAATGGTGCTAACAATTAATCAAGAAACAGATGAATTATTAACTAGTGACTCTATGTAAAGAAACTGTTTGACAACTGTTATTTTGGACGAATATACTGCTGAGAGAATATTTGAGTGATATTATAGTCTCCTTACCTTTTTGACACTTGACAGTTGTCTTCAATGTAGACAACAAATCGATCTTCTAATGGAGAAAAATGATGGTTTGATTCTCCCAGATGGTTCTTGAGTATGTCATCTAACACCACACAGATGGAGTGAAAAGGAGAGAGAGCTTTAGACAAAAATGTGGTGCCATCTAGTAAGGGAGGTTTTTTAGCCACTCCCTCAAACTAAAAAAAAGAGCGGGACTTCCAGTTTGTCCCGCCTTTTTCTCAACTGAGATAACTTGTTTTGAATCTCACATCTCTGTCTTTCCCTTTGCATACAAATAGCTAGTTTTTGAGGACAACATTGTCCTCAGAAGTGAGCTAAATCTGACAAAACCTCATTATAGAGACATTTGAGGACGTCCTGAAGTGGGGGAAAAAGGTTATTTTAGGGTTAGGGTTAGTCTGCTGATGATGTGAAAATTTCTCAGTATCAGTTTTGGCATACTTACTGTACTTACTTACATAATAGGCTACATATGCTACAGAGAGCCCTGTCAGCTGGTATTTTTAAAGGTTAAAAATAACAACTCAAATAAATATAATGCTGTTTTTTATTATAATAACAACTTTAAGCCCTGCTGTAAGGCATCAGAGGAAAAGACATGTTCTGCATCTAGCATGGAACAATAGCAAGAAGTTTCAAATCCACATTATCCTCCACGGCTTTCTTGACAAATTAATACCAATAGCAGACTTCATACATTAGCATAATGAGATGCATGGACCTAATAATAATGATAATAATTATAATAATAATAGATTTTATTTGTAATGCACTTCACATTTAAGACACATCTCAAAGTGCTGATATTTAAATGTGATGGAATTTGTCATTGTAGCCATACTGATGTTCAGCCATCATGTACCTCACTCTTCAGTGAATGTTGGCAAAAATTTGTCATGATGATGATCTGGTCACCAAGTATGTTGTGGTTTGGATGTCCCCACCAGGCTTCTTCACTACAGCAAGAGGCCAACCAGCTTCACCAAAAAGCCCATGCTGGTTGACAAGCATTTTTGTCAGCATTCTACCAGTGTGACCAGCTACAAACAAGCATGGACATTCATGCTAGTGTTTTCACTTGTAAATAAAGATTAGAATAAATTAGTAAAATTGAAGCAAGGTTATTTAAATATTTAATTCTCTGTTCAGTTTACCCCATTTATATTATTATGTTGTTACATTAATATAGCTGGAATTGTGTTGTAGTTAGCATATTAGCAAAGGTTGGCATCCTCAGTGTCTTGACTTCTATGTATAACAGCTCCATCAGATGGTGATGAATAGAATAGCAGAGTTGTTATCTATGATCATAGCAGCAGTGGGTTCAACTGGTGTCAAACACATTGTCCTTCGTACAAAACCCTCTTAAACCTGAATATCTTTGTGAATTCTGTCCTCCAAAACAAAAATTCCAATATCACCATATTTTATAATAGCTTTTGGACAAATGAGTGAACTCAATAAAAGGTTGGTGGAATTTGAATTTGTTATGTCTTTTAAATGTTTTTCACTTTTTTTTCTTCTTGTTTTTTTGCAAGATGTAAACAACACTGGCCTCGAAACACTTCCTGTTTCAGTTTGTAACTGTTTTCTTTATTTCACATGTAAAGAAAACATCTTAAAGATGTTTGTTTAACTTTTTGATTCAGTTTTATATGTTCTGTTGGTTGTATTTTATCCCAGCTTTTATGTAGTGTTAAAAAACTGAAACAGGAAGTGCTTCTGGACCAGTGTTGTTTACATCTTGCAAAATGGTCTATACTGTTTTATTAATAACATTTTGTTGTTGGCCAAAACAAAGGTTTTATAATTTGTATGTTACTGTTTCATGTGTTATAGCCTATTATGTTTAATACTTATTTTACTGTTTAAATTTAAATAAAAACTCTATAAAAGTTTTGTACTTTTTACTAAATGTTTTGTAGTCAGGATTGTACTATTTGTATCTAATCAAAAATGTATTTTAATAATAATTGTACGAAAATATTGTGTTACAACTAACCCTGGTCCCTCCCTTATATTGTGAAAAATTAATTCATTTTTACATTTTATTCTTTGACTCTATAAAGAGAACAAAAGAGACCAAATTGGGTATTTATATATAAAAAAGTGCATGGGTAAAATAAAGCAACATTTTCAATAAGTTTATTAATGACATTAATGTTGGCTAATTTTGTTAAATTTTATAAATTAGGTTTTAACAGCTGGGCTGTCGAAAAGAGGACTTTTGTTTTGTTCCTCCCCACCCCCACCCCCCCAACAACTGAAGCACCAACCCGGAAAAAGGAAATAATGTCCGTAGTCGTCCACTAGCTCAAGTCAGTTTGAGGTCGAGTGGAAGGTAAGCAAACAAGTATTTTTTTTTTTTCAAACTAACACGTTTTTATCAGTAAATAATAGTTTTATTTACGGTAGTTGTTTAAACTTTGACAAAGTCGCTATTGTTCTTTTTAGAAATGCAACTAGGTTTTAGCCGTTTCACACTTTGCTATGAGAGCAGATGAGTGTGGTCTGAACAGACAGTTAACGTTAGCTGCTAGCAGACTGACTGACAGTCTTAAGTTACTACACACTGCTGATAATAGTTACTGTGTTTTTACTTTTTATACTTTCCCTTCAGGCTTGTAAATACTAGTAATTGATTAGAAATAATATATTAGCCTTAGTTTTGTTTTTAAAATTTCATAAATGCTAAATACACAAACAAAGCGATGGCAAACTTTATTCTTGTGTCTGTTTACGTTTGCTTTTCTGTCTGTAGTCTTTCTCGGTGATTTTTATAGTATTAAGTCTTGCTCATGTCATTACTGTTTTTGTTCTGATTTTATTGGTCAACTTTATTTCACTTCATTAGTCACACGATTTATTCATAGTGAAATTCCCCATGCTGTCTGCAAACACGTATCTCTGACCTCAGTCTCCCTGACATCAGCTGTGGAAGTTGAGTCAGATGTTAAATATGGCGTTAAGTATAGCCTGTATCTTATGCTTGTTTTGGCCACGGCGCAACAAAGGGCCAGTCAGACTTTCTGGGAAATAGCTGATGTTGAATGCTGCCTTTCACTGAATACCTGCAAAAGAAACACATGTGAAGTGTGAAGCTGGTAATGAAAAGAAATGTTCATTTTGATGTGAACCAGCAGCTTTCTGTACCACTGTCATGGATCAGGGTTTTAAACTGGGGTCTGCGGGCCGCAATGGAGGGAGTGCTTAGGGGTCCATGGAAAAGTTAAGAGAAAAACCGTATGCATGAACTAAATAAATAAAGCAATTAAATAAATCACTACAAGTTAAGAAGTCAAGTTAATGAATAAATTGGGCTACATCTAACAGTACAGTATTATTAGTGAGTGGGGGAAAAGTAATAATGTAAAATATATATACATAAGCAAATTCTAAAATCTTTTACCCTTATGTAACAGTCTACATGGAAATATAAAGATTGATCACATTTTAGAATTAAGGCTTTCTTGCATGAGTATAATCATATTTGGGGGTTCATTACATCTAGAAGATTGAGAAAAGCCATGTCAAAGATTAAACACAGAGAGAGACGTTGTATCCATATCTGTTCATCAAGTTGAATTTGGTCAGAGGCCACTGGGCAAATTTTGGCAGGATGCCAGGGTTACACCCCTCGAAAAGACATCCTGGGATTTTTTTGTGACCACAGAGAATCAGGACCTCGGTTAAACATCTTAACCAAAGGACGGTGCTCTTTGACAGTATAGTGTCCCCTTCACTGGGGCGTTAGGTCCCACACAGACCACAGGGTGAGCTTCTGGCCTCACTAACACCTCTTTTTGCAGCAACCTGGTTTTCCCAGGAGGTCTTCCATCCAGGTACTGACCAGGCTCAAACCTGCTTATCTTCAGTGGGCAACCAGTTTTGGGATATGGCAGATATGGCTGCTGACAAGCATATTTTAAAAGAAAGCAATGCATAAGTGTCAAGATGACTCTGTTTTGTATCTTGTTCGTAGCTATTAACACTTCAAACACTGTCCATACTAATGCAACATGTTTTCCCTGTCCAGTTAACCATGGCGATGACAAGCCAGACGTCCTGCTCCTCGATGAGCAACCACACTAAGGAACGGGTCACCATGGCCAAAGTGACGCTGGAGAATTTTTATAGCAACCTGATTTCACAGCATGAGGAAAGGGAAATGAGGTAAGGACTAAAAAAAGCAAAAAGCTTTTCCGAAAAAAGCAAGAACTTTTTTGTTGTTATTTTTAGATATAGACTTTATTTTTCCATTCGAAAACTACTCGTAGCCCATATACTGGTTTAAATATTTAGGACTTAAGCAATTCTCTTATTAATGTAGTATTTGTATCTTTCACTAGTTGATCAGGTTTGGCAGGTCTAAATGATTCACTAAGCATTTGGACAAATACCTGTAATTCCTCACATACCCGCATGGTTTGGGTGAAAATGGCGAGACTACTCTCTGTCATTTGTGCCCATTGTGTTTCTTTAAGAACCTCCCAAATTCCAGGGGCCCTTTAATATGGACTCTACTGTCCCTCTTGAAATGATGTCAGACTAGTGGACCACACCTTTCTGGTGTTTTATGACATGTCTAAAAGCTATTCTCTATATGTTACAGGAAGCTGAAACTGGAAAAGGTCATGGATCAAGAGGGCCTAGCTGATGAAGAGGTGAGCTTTTCTGAAATACTTGCTTACATTTGAAAAAGTCTTGATCTAGACACTAGTGGTTTTGTTAAATGTTTTAACACGCAGACAGTTTCATGTAATCGGTTAATTTAATGTCTACTTTTCATGGTCCCGCAGAAGCCTCTCCGGCGGTCTGAGCATGCTAGGAAAGAGACAGAGTTTCTTCGTCTTAAACGAACACGGCTTGGATTAGAGGACTTTGAGTCGCTCAAAGTGATTGGCCGTGGAGCTTTCGGAGAGGTATGAGTTTTTTTCTGTTATGCACTGCATCAATTCAAAATAAAAAAATTGGTTTGGGGTCAGTACGTTGTTTTTTTATTTAATGTATTGTTTCTATTCAACAAGTATGCATTAAATGAATCAAACGTGACAGTTAAGGCGTATCATTTTATAAAATAATGTTCTTTTGAGCTTTCTATTTATCAAAGAATCCTGAAAAAAATGATCATGGTTTCCACAAAAGTATTAAGCAGTTCATCTGTTTTCAACATTGATCGTAAAAAGATTCTTGAGGTGCAAATCTGCATATTAGAATGAAGGATCATGTAACGCTCAAGACTGGAGTAATGATGCTGACAATTCAGCTTTGCCATCACAGGAATAAATGACATTTTATGATATATTGAAGTAAAACAGAATTATTTTAATTTGTAATATTATTTCACAATATTATTGGTTTTACTGTATTTTGAATCAAATAAATGCAGCCGTAATGAGCATGAGAGACCACTTTCAGAAATCATACAAACTTTTCAACTGTAGTGTTTTTTGATTTTCTAGCACATTTAAAATGTACTTCCTCTCTCTAGGTGCGGCTAGTTCAGAAGAAGGACACGGGACACGTTTATGCCATGAAAATCTTGCGCAAGGCTGATATGCTTGAGAAAGAGCAGGTGAGTTTTCACTGATGGAGTCACATATTCACACATGACATTGAAGTTTCTGTGTCTTGTTAACAGGTCTCTGTCTCCGTTTTCTGTTCAAGGTGGGTCATATTCGAGCAGAAAGGGACATCCTTGTGGAGGCAGACAGTCTGTGGGTAGTCAAGATGTTTTATAGCTTTCAGGATAAGATGAACCTCTACCTCATCATGGAGTTTCTGCCTGGAGGTGAGCGTGGGTGGATATCGGTTACTTTCAGAGGAGCATTACATTTGAGATGATGGCTTCAAATATGACTGATGTGTGTGTGTGTGTTTGCCCAGGTGATATGATGACTCTACTGATGAAGAAAGACACTTTAACGGAGGAGGCCACACAGTTTTATATTGCTGAGACTGTACTGGCTATTGACTCCATTCACCAGCTAGGCTTCATCCACAGAGACATCAAACCAGACAACCTGCTGTTGGACTCGAGAGTAAGAAAACAGATTATTTCATGAAATGAAATATTACATTTTATAATTTTTTTGCAAAATATATAGTTTTTGAAGCATCACACTATTCGGAACGATATCAAACAATTTCAATGGCTAAACCCAGTAAAATTTCACTTGGTACCACAGAGTATGATATAATTGTATTTAGTATTGAATTATGACCGCCCTATAGGCAAGTTCAATCGAACAGCCTCGCAGGGTCACATGGTCTTGATCAAAAGAGTGATTCTTATTTTGCTCTTTCAGGGCCATGTAAAGTTGTCTGATTTTGGCTTATGCACTGGTCTGAAGAAAGCTCACCGCACAGAGTTCTACAGAAACCTCAATCATAGCCTTCCCAGCGACTTCAGTAAGCAGACAAACATCTCTTCTGGTATTAATCCTAAAGATTTCATATTCAACATTACATTCATGTATTTATGCATCATGCTCTTAGTAAAATGTATTTAACATAATACGCTACTGTTCAAAAGTTTAGGGTTTGTAAGTTGTTTTTAATGACTTTGTCTCACCCTCACCAAGGCTGAATTAATTTGATTAATAATACAGTAAATATTGTAATTTTGTGAAATAATTTTAAAATTAAAAAAAAAAAACTTTCAATATAATGTAATTTATTCCTGTGGTGGCAAAGCAATTTAAGTCATTTAAAAGTAATTTAGAATTTGAAATCTTTTGTAACACTATAAATGTCTATTTATATTATAGCTGTAGTTTTTATAAATTTAATACATTCTTGCTAATTAAAAGTTATAATAATTTAGTGACCCTAAACAGTAGTGTATATGAAATAATGAAGAGATTGCATGGCTGATTCTGTGGCAGTAACTTTGGACTTTTTTTTTTTCTTCGTCTGTAGCGTTCCAGAACATGAACTCAAAGAGGAAAGCAGAAACATGGAAGCGAAACAGGAGACAGTTGGTAAGGGCATCCTCTTGACCCAATACTGCCCTACACATAGTGTGTACAGATAGATTCAGTGTTGCATGAAGAGCCTTTGCAAGAGTTATTGTGAAATTAGTTCTTAATATGGCAGTTGATGATTGTAAAAGTAGAGTGGGAGGGTTACGATGCAGTCTTGTGTAATTCATTATATTCTCTCTCACACAACTTTTTTTGTGTTGGATCAATAAGTAGAATAGTAGACAAGGAAGTTTGTCTGAATTAAAGGTGTCTTTTTCAGGCCTTCTCCACTGTTGGAACCCCTGACTACATCGCCCCAGAAGTCTTTATGCAAAATGGGTATAACAAGCTCTGTGATTGGTGGAGTTTGGGTGTCATTATGTATGAAATGCTGATAGGTGAGTTGATTGTTGCTTTTTAAATAAAGTAAGTTTCTTGTTTATTTGGCTAAAGTGTTTGTGTGGGTATTTTTCAGGTTACCCTCCATTTTGCTCTGAGACACCTCAGGAAACGTACAGGAAAGTGATGAACTGGCGGGAAACTTTGACCTTTCCACCTGAGGTCCCAATTTCAGAGAAGGCCAAGGATATGATCCTCAGGTTCAGTTCTCTCACTGTTTATACTTTTCCTTCTTCCACTTTTTATCGGGCTTTATTTTCATATTTTTTGCGGTGATTTTTGCCTTTATTTTATGCTCTTAGCTGGAACTCTTGTCTCTTCTCTCATCTCAGTGCATTTTGCAGGGATGTGATTCTTCCAGATTAATCTGGAATTCTGGTTATTTCAGCCTAAAATCATGTTTGGAAGTTTTGGGAAAGTCATTGTAATTTGTCTCAAAATATTTATATAATAGTTAAACAAACTAATACTTAATGTTCAGAATATGATGCGCAGTTTACCAAAACACACAAAAAAACATTGTATGTTGCCTATAATTGTAGAAGTTTGAGTGGATTTGCATTTACTGAATGAGAGTGATCAGTATTGGAAACAGTTGTTTTACATCTTTACATTTTCCCCAAAGATAATTTAAGATGTCCTGTTGTGTATTACTAGAAATAAATTATAGCTGTTAAATATTTTCCATGTGTGTCACTCATCACAGTTACTGGTTGTTCATGCAGTAAATGGCTGATTCAGGTGTTTAAAAAGTAAAAAGTGCTTTACGCTGGGTCTTAAATGTCCTGCTTTTCCCACAATCACATCCCTGATTTTGCTTTCATTAACCATGATGCTAACCTACATTTTTAGACATGGTTAATTTTTAGCAATCTCTTTTTTTCTTCAGTTCACCTGATGTTCTGTTGTTTTCCACTAGGTTCTGCTGTGAGAGTGAGCTCAGGATTGGAGCTACTGGAGTGGAGGAGATCAAGACTAACCCTTTCTTTGAGGGGGTGGACTATGACCATATCAGGTATACTGTCATCTCACATAGATAAACACACAGATTAAACGAGTTTTGAATAATGAAAGGAGTTTACTATTATAATGATTTACATTTTACATTACATTTACATTTATTCATTTAGAAGACGCTTTAATCCAAAGCGACTTACAAATGAGAACAATAGAAGCAGTTAAACTAACAGTAGGACAACAGTATGTAAGTGCTATGACCCCTCAGTTTAATTTAACACAGGTTTTTTTTTTTAAGAATAGAAGAGAGCAGTTTTCTAAAGTGGTTACTGACTCAGTAGCTCTGGTTGAGTTAGGCAGATCATTCCACCAACAGAGAACAGTTACGGTAAAGGTCTGAGAAAGAGATTTTGTGTCGCTAGCAGAGTTCAATTTTCTAGATGGTACATAAGTCTGAAGTAGTGAAGATCAGTGTCTTTAGCAAAATATAGGTCTTCATGATTTAATTGTCTTTGGGCTTTGAATGTAAACATACATTGTGCAGTAGCGTTATATACTTTCTATATTGCATGTAGAATTCCGCAAGTGGTGTCCAACAGCAAGTGCTGTTTGGTCAAATAATCTAAACTAATAGTTTGTATCAGTTTTAGTTAATTGCATCTGGTTCACGCAGTGTGCATTTTTAATTTGCAATTCTAGGTTATATGTGTATTCTATACCTTTGATTTGCATACCAAGCACATTTTTCAATACTGTTAGAAAATTTGAGGTTACATTAGTAAGATAAAAAAAAAAAAGGTTTTTAAGTCTCTTATTACCACCAACGCTGTATTTATTTGATCAAAAGTAAAAACAGTAATATTTTGAAAATAAAACGGCAATATTATGAAATAATAATATTATTATATTTTAAATAACTATTTTCTGTAATTTTACTGTGAATACAAATCAGAATTTTCAGCATCATTACTTCATTACAGTTTCATTACTACATCATTACAGTTTTTAGAATCACGTGTTCCTTCAGAAATCATTCTAATATGCTGATTTCCTGCTCAAGAAACATTTCTTCTTCTTATTATTATTATTATTATTAATGTTTAGAAATGTTTTTTTCCAGGATTCTTTAAGTAGTGAGTTAAAAGCAACATGATTTATTTGAAATAAAATTATATTATTATATTGTAAACAGTTTTTAGTGCATCTTAGGTATTAAAGATATTATTTTCTTTTTTTTTTAAATGGTAAGAGTAGTATGGATGTGGACAATTCTGAACACAGCTGATTTTTTTTTTTTCCTCTAGAGAGAGACCAGCAGCTATTCCAATCGAGATCAAAAGCATTGACGACACCTCAAACTTTGACGAGTTCCCTGAATCAGACATCCTTCAGCCTACAGGTGCATTTTTAGTCACTTTGGATATGTTTACTGAAATACATGCCACTTTATGGGTTATGTATTTCAGAACTATATAAAAACATTACTCCCTAACTTCCTCTATTCTTTCTCTCTCTCTCTCAAGCCCCTCCTGTGTCCAACCACACCGAGGCAGATCTGAAGAGTAAAGACTGGGTGTTCATCAACTACACCTACAAGCGCTTTGAGGGGCTGACCGCACGAGGAGGCATCCCATCATACATGAAAACTGGGAAAAGATAGGCCTCGATGGGACTTGATGCTGCGCTTTTGCAGTGGTTATTTTTCTACAAGGAGACGTTCTCCATCGCTCCTCTTCGCATCTGAAGGATCTTGCATCATCCGTTTCCTGTTTTGACTCAGTCGACCGTGAGTCATTAATGGATGTGGACTCCACCCGCACTCAATCCATAGAAGGACATGTTCAGAGTCATACCTTAGGGCTTCTTTTCCTCTAACACCCTAAATGTCCTCACTTCACCCTTTTCCTTTTTTCTTTCTAAAGGATTTGAGGCAATCGTCTTGTAAGTTGCCAGATTTTGTACATTTAGCATTGGGGATATTTTAGTACACTGACACTGGTAAAAAAAAAAGGGCTTGAACGGAAGTTAGTTAGATCTCCTGCAACCATAATTGATTTGAATTTGAACTGCGTTAGCAGTGGTGGATCGTCGATTAACCTTTTCAAAGAACTAGCATTTGTGGTAAAATCCCCGTCTCAGCCTTTTTCCGTGTCCACATCTTTTAATCGAGATGGATTTTTTTGAAAATCTATTCTTTTAAAGACAGTACTTTCCTCTCCTCCTTACACTCGCCATCCAAGATCTCAGTGACAATGGCAAAACACGGGGCTTCATAGTCGGATCTGAATGTGATTTATACGAACCCCAAAGCTGCAGATGTTGCCTTGCACGCGGATCCTTCTCTTATACCAGCAGAAACATCATGAATGCATTTGCCAATGAAACCAAATTATTCATCAACTGCATATCAGGAAACTTCACCAGCTTATGTCAATAACCAAGCAATCTCGATGGACCAGCATTTGTTTATATAATGGGTAGTTTCAGCCACTGGCTGATTCAGAAATTGCGCGTTGGTAATGCAATTGTTTTTCTTAATAAAGGGGCTCATTGCTTAAGTTTGGGGAACAACGCCACATTTCTTGCATCTTGAGAAGAATAGCAAAACTATTCAGGGATTTGAATTTGATCGAGTCTTCCTTTTTGTGGCGATGAAATGTTCAGTGCAAAAAAAAAAAATGTTATACTACCAAAGAGATGCCACTTTTAATCATCTTTATGGGCTTGAATCTCTATGTTGTTTGGTCATGGATGCTTTGGCTTTTATACAGCATTAATTAGCAAGCTTATACTTTGTCTTGAGCAGCTAGCAACTTAACTTGTAGCAAGATAATAATTCCATATGGTTTTAGTCAGTCTGCATTATTGAAGCTGCTTGCATCAGCATGTTGCTAGTGATGGCTGACTTTGTACAAATCAAACAAGAGTGCAAGAATGTGTGAAATTCGCAGACGGTGAATGACTGAATTGTCTTTCTGTGACCAAATTGAATGTATCTTATAGATTAAAAGAGCTCGAGAATGACCTGAGATTCACCTAAATGCTTGAGCGAATGATTTGGTGACTAGAATTTATGCTGCACACAGCATGACAAACGTTTTGTATGTGGAATTGCTTGTTGATAGATGTTGAGCTGAGCACAATATACTGCTAGAGTAATAGCCTAAATAACATTACTGTATCCCACAATGCTACAAATGATATGGAAAGTAGCATGAAATCATGTTCGAATGGTGCGTTTTTTAATCCTTAGAGCAATTTGTGACCGACTTTGGTCTGGATGTGTATTATTATTATTATTATTATTATTATTTTTTAATATATAATAATTATGGCTGGAGATTTTTCATGCTGTCTGAGGGTCGTTCGGTTGCATGTTGTTTTTTTGACGTGTGTTGGACAAGTCAATGAGCTATGAATGAGTTTGTGAAGCTTCATGCTGCTTTATTTGTTGCCCTTTTTCTAGTATCAAGAATATGTAGGGGTGATTTCATGGTTAGTGCTTATGAATGATTGCTTGATGGAATAATACACTGTCTCTAAGAAGCAGATCACAGGCTGGACTGCTTTGTATCTCTTGTTGCTGTATCTCACATGCTGAAAACGATCATGATCATAAAGAGAGTGTCTGTTTTAAATTCTCACTTGTTTTTCTGTAGCTTGCATCCTTGTCCTAGAGTGAGGACTTTCTCTTTGAATAAGAGATTTTTCTCTTTTCTTGAAGATAAACAATGCACCTTTTGCTAGTTGTAATGTCATGTATATTTAAAGTACACACACACTTGTCAAGTTATATACACACTGAATGACTCTTTGTAAGAGTTTGTATTTCTTTCAGCAACTTTATTCACACCTAACCAGATGTAGACTAGTCTTAAGATTGTTGGCGTCTATATTTACTTGCTTAGAGCTAAAGAAATAATTAAAACCAATCTGTATAAAGGAGTTTATTCAAACTGGCGCTAGTGCTCACAAACTATCCGGGCAGGAGATCATGGATTTTTTTTGCTGTTTATTCAGATCATAAATGCGTATCAAGTGCAAAGCTGATCAAGGAGCGGCATTCCTGCTTCTGAAGGGTTTGTGAACACAGCTCCTGGTTTCACTGATGTCACATTCTGCTGTGGGAGGTGGGCGTTTGTCCTCTCCCTGCCTTAAATTTGAGTTGTAGAGTGTTTGTGGATTTTTCCTACGCTCGCAGAGCACCTTTCACTGGTTTATTTGTCTGATAGAGTTTGTTTTTGAGGTGTGGGCACACTTTGACCTGTAAAACGTCCTGAATAAAACACCAGTTCATTTACTTGTGTGTGAGACTCTTCTGTTCCTTCTTTTCCCCTTTTAGTGGTGCTTGCTAAAACCTTTTTTTTTTTTCTATTGGGAATTTCTTAAAGGAGCAGTTCACTTTTCAAAAAACTTTTGCTGATAATTTACTCACCCCCATGTCATCCAAGATGTCCATGTCAAAAGAAATTAAGGTTTTTGATGAAAATGGGATTTTTCTCCATATAATGCACTTTACTGGGAACCAAATGGTTCAAGGTCCAAAAGAGAGTTTCATTGCAAACTGTTCAATGGGCTTTAAACAATTCCAGACGATGAATAAGGGTCTTATCTTAAGAGTCTTAAAGTAGGGCTGCTGTAAGGAACTTTGCATAAGTTTCTGGGATCCAAATTAAGAACCTGTTATCACTGGTCCCACGGTTAATGAAGTGATCTGTTTGTCCCTTTGAACACAAACATGAATGCGAATCCTTTTTTAAGCAGTTCATTAACAGCTCTGCTCTATAAATAGTACACCATAGTTTGAACATGTTTTTCAATCCCACACGTTCGTGACATGGTCAAATTCATTTTTAACACATCTATTAATCAGTGACTTAGTAAAATTATAGAAAAAGGAAATCTGGGAATTCATTTGACTTTTTAATAATTCAAATGTTGTCCTGGGAAAGGAGAGCTGTTCTGGGTCGTCTTATCCAGTATAAACCCCACAAGAGTAAAAAGATGACCGCGACCATTACAGCAGATATGGAGAGGCTTATCAACACCATGTTTCGGACAGTCCTGCTGGGATACATGTTTTCTGTGGTAGTGATGTTAGAAAACAGGCTCACGGGGTTTTCCCACTGAATCAAACCTTTCCTAAAGTCTAAACTCAGTTCTTTGGGAGATAACACCTTTACCCCTTTATACATTCTCTTCACTCTTCGTTTGTCGGTGTCCAGTACGTCACAGCGGTATGTCCCAGAATCCTCAACTCTGAGAGGGTTTAGCACCACCTTGTCGAGGCTGAGGGCTTCATAGCGGGTGAATAAGGAGTCATCAGAGGTGATGACTCCACCGGCAAAGCGCCAAGACACCACAAAGGCAAAGCGGCCCATGGCTTCCATCACTTCCTCTAAGCAGTCAAGCACCAGACTCTGACCGACTTTTGCTGTTTGGGTCTTCAGGCCACACTGCCAGGTGTCTAGGCAGCGGATGGTCCTCATCTTGCAGGATGGGCTGGAGATGTTTCCGGTCCCCCTGATAGGGCAGAGCTCTTGTGTACGGAGGCCAAGCCCACAGGTGGCACTGCAGGGAAAGCTGCGTTTGATGACCCAGGTGTTGATCTTCTCCAGTTCTTCCAGGTCGGCTTTGGTTAAATTGCTACACCAGCTGGGGGAGTGCAGGAGTGTGCAGTATAGCAACACCAGCCAAAGTGCTGAGCCAGCCATTGTAACTTGAGACATTGAAGAGGAGCAGAAGATCAGATCAGAATCAGAATGAGAATCTATACGACCATAGGTTTATTAAAGGATTAGTTCACTTCAAATGAACACAAAGGAAGATATTTTGAAGAATATCGGTAACCAAACAGTACCCCACTGACTTTCATAGTATTTTTTTTTCTTATATGGAAGTCAATGTTTTCCATAACTGTCTGGTTACCGTTATCAAAATATCTTCCTTTGTGTTCAGCAGAAGAAAGAAATTCATACAGGTTTGAAACGAATTTAAGGGTGAGTAAATGATGGCAGAATTTTCATTTAAAGTGAACTATTCCTTTAATAACTTATTTTAATTCATTTTAAAATTAATTGTAATACTTTATATAATTATTTTTAAACACATATAATTATCTCACATGAATTAAGTCAACACATTTAAAAAAGTATATTTATTCATTATTCATTTTAAAATAAACACATAATTTGCAAATTAATTAATTTGTTTATTTATTGTTTTTTATTTATTTAATTAATTATTCTTTTTTTTTTCTAGCACACCTGAATTTTAAGCCTAAACTAAATCAATTTCGATCACCTTTATCAGTTCCAAACTGGTACTTATTATGATGGGTGTTTCAGTTATCGTTAAAACAAGAATAGGTTTGTCTTACCTTCGTTTGTGTTCAAAAGATGTGATAAACTATATAAAAAAATGTCTTCGTCTAAATGTATAACGGAGGAAAGAGCGTGCCTAAACGAGATTTAGCTACAACTGTCAACAAAAACATCTATTTATTTGTTTTCGTTTAAAATAATGTTTATTTTATTTTATTTTTTGTATTTACAACGTTTGTGTTCCATCTTACCAGTTGCCACAAGATGGCGCTTGGTCTCACAGAACGCAAGTTATGCAGTGTGACGAGTAGGCTACTACCGGTAAATACGTTACGGGTGTAGTTGTAGTAAAATAAGTAAACTGTTGATTATGTTATCTGGGTGTCACCGATACTATTTTAAGTTACTGTGAAACAATTATATTTAGTTATGTCAAAGCATAAAGTGGCAACGGCGACTAGGTTGAGTTAGTGTGTGTGTGGTAGGTGGGTACTCGCCAAGTAAAGCAGAACCAGCAGTTATTGACACCTCTCAAATGTCAGACAGCTATGAAATGCCTAGCGCGAAAAGACTCCTGCGGGGTAAGTGATTCAAACCAGGCCATTGAGGCCAACGAGTCATTCTTACCCTTTACGTTTTGCCCATAATTTGGTTGAGTCTGACTTGGTCGGCTGGCCGAATTTGTTAGTGTGAGAGATAGAGACCTGTACTCTTGGGTATAGTCTTTGTGATGGTATAAACAGGATGTGGATAAGCTCTGATGGGTGTTTGTCATGCTGAGGAAGCATCACCTCAAGGGCACAGACTGTACAAACAAAGCCATGACAGTCTCTGTGTATCAGAACAAACAATCTATCATTTACTCACCCTCATGTCGTTCCAGTATGACTTTCTTTCTTCTGCAAAACACAAAAGCAAATAGGAAATTTTGAAGAATCTTTGTAAACAAACAGTTTTAATTGTAGCCTATATAGAAAATAAACTGAGATATTAATGAAAATAGCTTATTTTACAGCTGGGTGCCATGTGCGTAGTATAGCGCCGTTTTGTCATATAGCGTTCTATATGACGCTAAAGGATGATGATGCGTTGGAAATGACATGAGGGTGTGCAGCGATGACAGAATTTCCATTTTTTGCGTGAACTATCCCTTTAACTGCAGGGATGCCACATTCCATGTAGACAGTGAAACATGTTATATTGCATTTTCTTGGACATTAAAAATTAATTTTGTTGAACACGGGTTCCTTCCAACCATAGACGGTAAAAGAAGATTCCAACATCAATGATAAAAGCTGCAGTCCACAGTTTACCTCTTAGTCGCCATCTCTGTTCGAAATCTGCAATTGCAGTTACTTGTGGAATAATCAACTTTACACCAGTTGTGCTTCGACACGGCACAGCACGGATGAATCCAATGTTTGAGGAGAGTGTACGTTAGAGTCAGTCATTGGCGCGACGGTGTGGAGACTGTCATTCAGAATCACAGATTATTATTTTTGGAAGTATGACCATTATAACTATGCCATTGCCAAACCTACACAGCAAAATCTTCAGTGTTGAAATCCTGGTGTTAAAGTCTCTTAGAGTAAAGTGTTAATTTTCTGGTGTTGAATCTCAAGGGATTAACACTAGCTAGTGTAAACCACACTCTGGCTGGTGAAAATATGTGGAGTTAAATCTAAGTAGCACCTGAGAATGCTTTGACAACACCAATAATAGTGTTACTAGTCACATCCGGGACATTTACGTGCTGGGCGGAACGAAACGAGCTGAAACTTTACTCACAGACGCCATTTTCTTTGACTCGAGTCGCAAGGCATACGAGGAGGAAACACGCATTTATTACGTGTTTTATCGCATTTATAGATTCATTTTATAACATCATATTGTTTTATAACAATATGTATGTTCTGTGGACGAGCAAACCGCTCTCAGAGGGACATTTTCTATGACGCGCGATTCGGGGCAGACCAGGATGGGTTTGCTTTTTAACCGGGAAACAACGAAAGTAAGTGTTTTCTAATTTACATTGGCAATGTATTTTATAGTATATTGATTCATGGCGATATTTAAATGCCCAGCGCGATTAAACGGTCGAAATTATTTTCAAAGGCGACATCATCTTTGACTAGCCTATATACGGAGCTGACGAGGAGGAGGCTTAACGTTAACAGGGAAAACACCTACAGTAAGTGTTTTTAACATAATTTACCTCATGAATTTCATGGCATTATATTGTTTTGTAACGATATTTATGTAATGTGCGCGCCTAAACCGTCAGGTCCTGCATCTTTGACTCGTGACGCATTTCAAAAAGCAGTGCAGAATGCAGACACGGAGTTTGCTTTTAACAGTGAAAACACCGAGTAGGTAACTTTAAGTGTTTTTTACTCATTTACTGTGCTGTGCTACGTGTTTTATAATATGATATTGTTTTATGACAATATGTGTGATGTGCAAATATCATAAAGTATTTATCCTCAAACTATCTTTTACTCTCGTCTGCCAGCTAGACCAACTCCACAAACTGCGGACCAACAATGCACGTGAAATTTTCACTTTATTTCCTTATTTGGAGGACCAATCTTCTTAGAATGGGTAAGCAATTATTTCAAATTAAATATTGATGCAAAATGTATTTATCAGATTAACTTTTGGTTGATATTTGGAGATGCTTTAATGTTTAAATTTATTGATTTTTGCAATTTGTTTTTGCTAGGAGCAATTCTATGATGCACCAAGTGGCTAAGGGTACCAGGCTTGGTGTTTAAAGACTGTACAGACTAGAACCTGGTGATGGAAAGATAACAGATAAGTTAACATATGAGAGAATCATGGGCACAAACAAAAATAATCATGGCTTGGTATTACTAGATTTTTTGATTATATAGAGTTTGATTATATAACTAGATTAATATAGACACATATTTTGAATTTGTCTAGTCAAATTACTTAACAAAAGTGTGTGTGTGTATATATATATATAAACTTAAAATTAGATTTCTAATCAATGGTTTTCTTGATTTGACAAGTAGAAATCTCTGCCCATCACCTGCCCCCAACATTACAAAGCCACAAGAAGAGAACACCGATCCTTCCAGAATCCGGCGGCTGACTATTTAGTGAGATTTCTTAAGGTGCGTGTCTTAATTTATTCTTAAAGTGTTAGTTCACCCACAAATGGAAATTCTGTCATTAATTACTCACCCTCATGTCGTTCCAAACATGTGAGCGTTTTTCGATGTTCACAACACAAACGAAGATATTTTTAATGAAATCTGAGAGCTTCGTGCCCCTCCATTTACAATCTACGCAACTACAACTTTCAAGCCCCAGACAAAAGTACATCATTAAAGTACTCCATGCGACTCCAGTGGTTTAACATAAATGTTTATTAAACTATGCAAGTGCTGTGTTTGCAGCAAAAACACATTTACCAATTTATTAAATATTTATTTCCAACATGCGTTCATGAGAACATTACAACTCGTGCATGTTGTTGATGTGCATGTATGTGCATTGAAGAGGAATATTTTGTAAATAAAGTTGAGTTAAAATTGTGAAATTTATGTTACACCACTAGAGTCACATGGATTACTTTTGATTTCCTTTATACCTTTCCGTGGCTTTGGAAGTGGTGGTTGAATAGGCTTTAGATGAATGGACAGAAATCTCTTATATTTCATTAAAAATATCTTCATTAAAGGGACTGTTCACCCAAAAATGTAAATTCTGTCAGTATTTACTCACCTTCATGTTGTTCCAGCCCTGTAAGACTTTCGTTCATCTTCTGAACACAAATTAAGATATTTTTGATTAAATCTGAGCTATCTCACTCCTCCATAGGCTTCTAAGGGATCAAAACTTGCCAGCCCAGAAAGTTATTAAAGATATTGTTAAAATAGTCCAAGTGATTACAGAAGCGCAATCATAAGTTTATCAAGCAACGAGAATACTTTGTGTGCCAAAAACAAACAGAAATTACGACTTTATTTAACTATGCATGCTTCTCTGTGGGCCTTGAGATGGTTCTCGTAGTGTAACAGTGCTTCAGTGTTGTACGTCACACACAGGCTCACTATTGGCCGACGCTGGTTGTGTGTGTGTGTGTGTGTGTGACGTACAACACAGAAGCGCTGCACTGTTACACTGTTAACTTGCTCAGGCCCACGCAGAAGAAAATGAATAGTTAATTTTAATATTTTTAGTTTGTTTTTTTTTTGCATACAAAAAGTATTTTTGTCACTTGATAAACTTAAGGTTGAGCCACTGTAGTCACTCTGTCTATTTTTACAATGTCTTTAATAACTTTTCTTGGCCGCCAAGTTTCAATCCCTTAGAAGGCTATGGAGGAGTGAGATAGCTCAGATTTAATCAAAAATATCTTAATTTGTGTCCTGAAGATGAAGGAAATTCTTACGGGGTTGGAACAACATGAGGGTGAATAATTAGTCAGAATTTTCATTTTTGGGTGAACTAACCCTTTAAGTGTTTCGAAGATGAGCAAAACTCTTACTGGTTTGGAACAACATGAGGGTGAATAATTAATGACAGAATTACATTTTTTTTATTAATTAAATCTTCGATTTACTTGGAAATCAGTAAATTCAAGTCTTAATCAAACAAAAATGTTTTTTTGTTTGAGTCGATGATTGAACTTTTTTTCACCCTAAACTTGCTGTATTTATGAAACACAAATGTCTAAATGATCTGGTTTTGTGTTCTAGGTACCCAGTACTACACGATTTTTCACTAAAGTTGGATCTGCACAGCCTTTTCTGCTCTGTGAAACAACTGCACTGAACTTTACTGTTAGCGACTGGATACAGCTGATCCACTCATATCCTGCTACTGTTTTTCATCTGCTGAATGTTTTTGACTCAAGCACTGCTGTACTGTTGCAAAGTCAAAGGTACTGAATTAACTTCACTGACACAGGACTCACATTCACTGATATGTTCAGGACTTAAGTATTAAACACCATTTGATCACATCATATAATTCTGATGACAGAAATCCATATATTGTGCATTCATCGTTTATTTAAAAAATTAACCTATAATGTAAACGTGCTTGTTCGTTAATAAAAAAAATAGTTTGTTTGAAACAACTGTTTACATTTTGCCTTTATTTTTAACTTTACAGTGAACAGAATTCTACTATGATCCCAGACTTTTTGGATTGTTTTGAAATAAAGTTTTTTAAGAGTAATAAAGAGTGATGTGTTTATTTCAAAGTGAAATTATTCTTTTAAATAATAAGATGGTATTGCATTGGAGAGTTGTCTTATTCAATTGTATGTTTGAAAAATTTTAATAAATGTTAAAATAAATTCATAGTAACTTGGTTTTTGGAAAAATATCTTCGGGTTTAAAAGTTCAATTTTTTTAAACTTCATCTGCATTACCATTTTAAAATAAGTATACATTATAAACATTAAATCAACATAAAAAAATACACTGGAGTTGTGTGATTAAACACCATAAAGTGTTAAATGTGTATATTTAAGAGTAATAATTTCTAACACCTTGAGTGATTAAATGAAACACTAACACAGTGTTTAAAAAATAAACACTATCGTCAGTGTTGTTTTAACACTAGCAAAGATGGACCTGTATGTTCACCCGGAAAGTGATAATTTTAACACCCATGGTGACAAATCTCCTGACATTTTTTTGCTGTGTATATAGCGGCAGTGTAGGGAGAAGTATAAAGCCATGCAAACCAATCAGAATCCTGAGAGTCGACAAGAGAGAACTAAAATCCTGTTCCTCCCAGTTGACACGGCATCACAACAACTTTGGCCGGAGAAGAAATAATTGTTTTCTGTGATAAAAAATGGGGTTTTCGTGTAAATGAAAGGCCAAACCGCAGGGAAATATCTGCGTTTTCTCTTCGTGTAAACGGGGCCTCCCCTTCTTTATGTGTACAGATGGAACGTAATGACGCAAAGACATGCTTGAATTTCCCACGGAAATCCACCAGTACCACTGAAATTAAAAACATTATTTCAAGCTTACCGCTTTGAATCGAGCTAGGCAAGCAGGTAGTTTTGATCACTGGCTGGTTATGTAGTTGCTAAAAAAAATATATTTTGGTTAATTTTTAACCCAAAAAAATGAAAGACTGTAGCTTTAAATTAAAGAGATATTAGTGTTCATGTCACATTTAAAAATGTATTAATAAATTGGCATTTCATTTTTGTTTGTAGCAGTGCTTTGAGCTGCGTGCAAATTGCATTCTGTCTGGGTATCCATACTTCTTTTGAATAAGTGTTTCGCAACTGTCAAAATAGCACATTCTAGATACTATGATTGTTTGTAGTATGAGCGTAATATTGACATACATTTGTCATGTTTTCATTGTCATGTGACCTATAATTCCATCATCAGTTGTATCACTACACAGCCATTCACAACTCCTCCCCTAATACCATTGGACCTATATAGACCTAGTATGAATGTGTGTAGTAATACAACATTCGCCATTTTGTCCTTATTGCATGACCAACCAGCGTCAGTTGCGTCGCGCCACTGCCATTCATAAATCCTCTCCCGTGGCCTCATGGGATAGTAAAGTGTCCAATTGTATGCACACTTGTCAACTTTTCCCCTACTCTTTACTTATTTTGTTATATACTGTTTTCCACCTACACTCTAAAAAATGCTGGGTTGTTTTAACCCAACTTTGGGTCAAATATGGACTAACCCAGCCGTTGGGTTAAATTTTTACATTACATTTTTAACCCAACATTTCGGGTTTGTCCATATTTGACCCAAAATTGGGTTAAAACAACCCAGCATTTTTTAGAGTGTACTAAATAATTGGGAAGTATGTGATTTTTGCAAACGCTATGCAGATAGCACAAGGGTATTTGATGTCCCATTTACATCTGGAAGACGTATTTTTAAGAGCGTTTGCTCATCTGCAAGACGTCTATAGGACGTTTCCTGTCAAATGTCAAATAGACGTTTATAAGATGTCAGTTTAACATGCATTCTAAATCATTACATTTAGAGACTAAACGTCTATTTGACATCTGCAGGAAACGTCCAATAGACGTCTTGCAGATGAGCAAACACTCTTTAAAATACGTCTTCCAGATGTAAATAGGAGATCAAACAGTCTTGTGCTATATTTGCCCTCATAGTGCCAGTAGATTTAGATTTTATACTGACAGTGACACCTGTTGGTCTGGATGCAAGAAGTTTGTTTAGGAACTGCTGTGGTTTCATGCCAAAACTGTTTGCTTGTTTTACTACAACACGAATAATTCCTAACATTTTCATTTGATGTTGATGTTTGGTGCTGGTAGCCTACCTGCAAGTCATTTGATATCAACATGGCGGCACATTAAGAGGCTACCCTCTCCATGTAGAATTTAACTGCTTTTCATAGATATGATGTGTAGAGTCTTTATGTTAGTGAACATAATTTTAACAATTCCAAAAATTGCTAATCATTTATATATATATATATATATATATATATATATATATATATATATATATATATATATATATATATATATATAAAACTTCTAAGTAGGCCTAGCTAAATAAATCAGACATGGAGGATGGAGCCAGAGATAAAAATGAACTGTATTCTCTAATCACACATTTAAAGATTGGAAGGGATCAGTTCATCAGTTCATTGAAACTGAAGACGTGATTGTTCAAGCGCTGCAACTTGCAGACGGTCCCTCAGCGACAGACACAGTTCTCTCTCTACAGCTCTCACAAGCGTCTCACTTTTCGTGTAGTGCATACTGAGCTCTCGTGAACTCGCTACTTCGGCGTTTACTGCACGGTTTTTGCCAGTGATTTCATGGTTAGCCTACTGATCGTTTCACGTGCACTCCCTGTTTCCACATCATTTGGCTCCTCTGGCCACTTTCTTCATTTATACTGCAGGCACCCGGAGGGCTACTTCTCTGAGTTACCTTTTGAACGGAAAGTGTTTTTTAATGAGGTGCAAATTGGCTTGCGGCTGACTTCGATGTTGCGCGTTGCTAGTATAACAGAAGTTTCTTCAGTTCAATATAACATTTTACCCTGCCGCATCCTGTCGCGAGGTTGCGAGCAGCGCGCGACGGATTAAATGGATTAATTACCACATCTTCATCTCAGTTTTCAAACAACTGGCATATATATTTGTGTTTGTTTGGAGGCGCTTCTCTCAAAGCGGTTTTAAAAATGAGCGAGGAGGACAGTCAACAAGAAAACGGGGATGTAAGCAGCAAGGACTCGGGCCGTCAGTTTCGTCTGAGACTGTGCGTTTTGAATGAGATATTGAACACTGAACGGGATTACGTGAGAAATTTGGCATTTCTGCAGACGGTAAGTACTGGGTTTAATGCAAACTCTTTTGAGTGTTGCAGTTTGAGCACCCATGTGCCTGCTTACATGTTGCAGTCGCGCGGTTATTGTTACAGTCTCGTTTACTGGCTTATAAACTGGAGATAACGGGCTCTGGTGAAGCTGTCAAGCTGTGTATAAGTCACTGTACTGTCGTCAAGAAAGAGGAAGAGGGAGAATACGTGAACCAGGCTGTTTTTCTAAAACAAATAGTGTTGGCTAGGTTATTTTTAGTCACATTTCATAAATAACAAAACAAAGCACGGGGGACTGTTTTGAATCGGGACTTCTTGGGGGGTTTTGTTACTGATGCTTGCAAGGACGCGGATGTTTTTCCTCCAGTGGGTGTTTTAACTCGGTGTTTCCCAACATTTTTTTTTTACCCCAGCCCAACCAATAAGGCTCACATTCCATCATTCATTTTATTAAAAACACTTTTAAACACAACTCAAAGTAGAACTTATGTTGTAATGAGTGTCATCCACATGTATTTCTACAACATGCATTAGGCCTACATATTGTTTTCATTCTTTAAAAAAAGAGTTGAAAATCACATAAATCATAATTAGTAATCTAATTCCATAGTCTCATAGTTTTATTGGTTTAAAGCAAACCCATATCAATATCATGTGCCACCTCAAACCTCTTACTCAGTTTGGGAATCACTGTTTTAAATGTGATCTTATCCATTGCCTTTTTCTGGTCTGCAGTTTTTAGAGATGACTGAAGTGTGAGCACTCTCAAATCGAGAATCAAGAGTCTGTCACTTTTACTGCCTTTTTAATAATTCAAACAAGCTTTAACTTAAACTAGTGTATATTTCCTGGTCATGTGCCATTTCCTTTTATAAGCTCTGCCTCATAAAAACCGCAGCGACTCATGTGAGCGGTGGGATTTTCAGGTCTTCAGGGCAATCTAGCCCGTAAACCCCCCTGTAACTTTCGAAACACTTGTTTTTTGTTTTGTATGTGGCGTGCTCATCAGCATACAATCCTGCTTTGCCCAGAGCATGTGTCTTAGTGATAACCCCCCTGCAGTCTCTCTGACCCTGCACTGATAAAATATGTAAAGTAAGTAAAAAGTAAATACAGAAAGTGTTTGAAATCGCCCAATATTGAATTGGCATACTTGACAAGTGTTTTCTTGCTCTGATTAGCATCAGATCATGACATAGCTTGCCTGGATTAGAGAATAGACAATCATAAACCTGTTCATATTCCAACCTTTCTATGCTTTCAAAACTAGTTTAGCATCAGTAAACCATGTTATTCTGTTTTTTTTCGTGGGCATTTCTCACATTCCACACCAGTGCATTGTCCCTGCTCCAAAACCTCTTGATCCTGGGATAAATTTAACAGGATCAAAGGAACTGGGGAGGTTTTACAACATGCCAATGAGGGATAATCAGCCTTACAGTTATTAAATCAGTTTTATAACAATCCATCATAATCATATTGGCCTGTTAAGCTCCCGGAGTGCAATGGCTTTGCGAGGAAGCTGCCAATTGATGACGTCGAGCCGGCTGTGGCAGTTAAAGATTTTAGTAAAAGACACTCTTTGGGGTTTTCTGAAAAGGATGGGTTCACTTGTCCTAGTTACTGTTCTTTCCTGCATATGGGAAGAATCATAGGCCCCTCTCATCTGCTGACTCTCAGAGGGTTTCATCTCCCTAGCGGTGTGTCTGATGTTATCTGATCTGGAAGCATTAAGTGAAGCGGGACCAATCAAATTAGTCCCTGCAGATGCACCTGACGGCCT